TTCCAGCTTCTAAAACAGACATGCGGGAAAGCAAGTTGTTAAAGATCAGCTTTCTGCTGGCCCTCCGCGCAGGGCGCGGCCCAGCCTCCCGCACAGCCAACCCCCTCTCCCTTTCAAATTTGTCCATCCGGGCAATTAAGGCATTAAGATCTTCAGCTGAAATGCCATCATCATCGGATGATGAGGCTTGCGGCGAAATGGGACGCTTCGCCGACGTCTTCTTTGCGGGTCCCTTCCCTTTAGGGCCGCCGACATTCTTCTTAGGTGCCATTCCTGTAAGAAAATTAACAATGTCTTTGTCATTTCCACATATCTGTCAAGCCGGGGCTGGGTGTCCTTCTTAACCAGCCTAATTCAGCATAGTTCAAATCTGAGGCTGGCTGAAATCCCGCCCCAATGCCAGCTGGCCCCCGCCTGTATCTAGGATCCCTACAAGTCCAGCAAACGTTATGGGCACTTGAGAGTATATCCCCCACGTCACCTAGGGTCCATTGACCTACTCACATTTGCATTTTGAATTATAGCTTGGGGTTGATACACTGGTGGCACCCAACCAGCGCCCCCTGGGGTCTATTGATCTATTCACATTTGCATGTTTAGATATCCCTTGCGTTTGATAACAACTGTATTCCAATCAATGTATATAAAAGAGTCCCTATATTGATGGCCTAAAGCCAAAGTCATCATCAGTTACTGGAGGCCTAGCCTCCTGAGTTTAGACTCCAGCACTGAGGTTTATATGTATATATATATATATATATATATATATACCTATATATGTTTTTTTTTTTTTTTTTTTGAATATCCATTTATCATTGTATATTTAGATTTATATAGTTATATATCCCTCCCGAAGAAATTATGGTCACTAACTATAGCATGGCACTGACATCTATGCGTGTCCTTAAAATGGCGCCCGCTCGCGCCGAACCAAAAAAAGGGGGCGCCTGCTCAACTCGCCAAATGGCGCCCGTTTGCTCCAATATACGAGGGGGAGACCACATGGCTCCCCTACTCACCGAAATCAAAGGCGAACAACGTAGCGCCAGCACGCGTTAAGCAACGGCGCACGTTTGCGCCGCCGTAAAAGGGAGAAACGCAATGGCGCCCGTTCGCGCCAAAACAAAATGGCGCCCGTTCGCGCCAAAACAAAATGGCGCCTGTTCGCGCCAAAACAAAATGGCGCCCATTCAAGCTAAGACAAAATGGCGCCCAGACGCGCCCAAAATATTCGGGGCCCAGTTGAAAATAATCGTGGCAAGCCCCTCCGTCTCCCCGACGACGCTATAGCGAGGGGCGCCCCGGCTGCAGCCAGCAACAGACGCATGTGAAGGGGAAGCGGGGGGGGGGGGGGCCGAGCCGGGAGCCACGCCCGGGCCGGCCCCCGCTAAAACATGAGCGGCTGCACGCTCACCTAAACACCCCCGCCGTCACGGAGCGCCGCCGCCAACCCCTCGGACCTAGCGGCGGCGATCGGCAGCCCCCACGCCGGAGGAGGAAGAAGAAGAAAGGTGTGTGGGGGGGGGGCCGGGGACGGGGGCGAGGTCCAGCCGAGCACCCCGCGCCCACCCACACGGCCGCGCTCGCGCTCCTAGGCCAACAACTCCCAGCCGGGAGTTGATTGAGCGGAGGGAGAAAAGGCACAGGCCCGCCCCCGCCCCAATCGCCCCCAACCCCAACCGAAAACCGGGGCTAGTGGGGGGGGGGGCAACCAAACACTAGCCCCCACCTGCCCCGCAACAGACCTGAAGGTCTCCAATGAATCGTGCTGTCTCCTCTTTCTTCCAATCTCCTAATCTTCTTGTCTTCTTTAGACCACTCTTCTCTTCTTTACCAGGTCCTCTTGCCTTATCGGCGTCTTCGTCTTCCTTCTTCCCGAACACGTCCGATCCCTCCAGCTTCAAGGCGCGGAATGCGCCTGTTGGGCTCGCGCCTGCAAAGCAGGCCACGCCCTCTGTCTCCTGGAGGGATCACGTGACCCCTCTCTCCCTCGTGGGAGGCAGACAAACTGTTTTCTTCTCTCCCCACTGCTTGGGGAGAGGAAAACTAATGTACATGGACATCAAATGCCACACATCATTCCCTTAAAATTGCTTAGCAAGTAAGAAAATGTATGCTTTTGGGGGGCGAGGGACTGTTGCCCCAATAATTCACCAGCAACTATGGCCATTGACAGGGCACAATTTATAACTCATAGTCCAAACAGGACCTTGAATTAAATATTGCAAAATACTAGTATGCAAGGCTTGGAATATATCTTTTTTCCAATTCCTAGGCTGGGGGATCCTGGAATTTGTAGACCAAAAAAAATGATTTTCTCCATTGTGCTAATATGTCATGCAAATTGACAGTCCTGCTGCCTTTAGCAGTCCATTTAGCCCCAATCTCAACTGGTCTGAACAAAATCAGTAGGGACAGGATTATAGCTTCTCCAATCCTTCTGAATATGACCCTATAGGTTCTTTTTGTCAAACACTATTCTGTTAGGAACTTGTCACCCATGGACTAGATATTAAAGGAATGCTCAATTGTTTGCATATTATAGCATAGTGCTCTCTTTGATGTGTTGGACTAGAGCTCTGAGAGACCAGGGTTCAAATTCCTGCTCAGCTTTGGAAACCCACTGGGTGACCTTGGGCAAGTTACATTCTTTCAGCCTTCGAGGAAGGCACCAGCAAACATCCCCTGAATAAAACTGGTCAAGAAAGCCCTATGACAGAGTAACCCTTACTCACAGTCAGCTTGAAGGCACATAACAATCAGTTATGTGTGGTCTTATATTTCTTCAACGGCACCTTTCTGCAACATTTCAAACTGTATAGCTCCACAATGTTTTGTACAGAGAATTTCAAAAACCGGTTTTCAGTATGGTGTATGGTGTATGGTATGGTATGGTATGGTTTGCTTCTTCAAAAAACCTATTCAGAAAACCTATGGGAGTACAAAGTCTTGAATGGATTCAACTTGCTCTTTTGAATCACAGCCATAATCTTGGGCCTTCTTATATCTGATTTCAGGAATGCTTCCAGACGGGGTAATCCTAATGTAATAAAAAAGGTATAGGGTAGCTAGCCCATCTTTTCCTTTCCAAGAATTTATTTTTAGGTAAGAAAAATAGATGAGAGAAGTGCTGAGGACTTCCTCCATCTCTTCCTAATAGGTAAAGAGTTGTTCTGGATGAGCTATGATCCCACAAAAGCTACATCTGGAAGCATCCTCAAATTTCTTCATATTGTCCCCATAATTTATGTTAACGTATGGATGACTACAATGACTGGCAGTACAACTAAGCATAAATGATTTGTTTTGGTTATATTGAAAAGTAAAGAGTTATCCTAGTAGGTACAGTACCACTCTTGTATCCGGGGGGGGGGGGGTATATCTTCCAGGACATTGCTTTCATTCACACAACTAGGGAACACACTCCCTAACGAAATCAGGCCAGCCCCCAATCTCCTGACCTTCAGGAAGAAATTGAAATCATGGTTGTGGGGCCAAGCTTTCGAGGAACAGTCGCAGCAGTAACAATCATGTGATTGACAATGGATGGATTTTGAATTATGACTCTGGACTTGGACTTGTCTCTTTTAAATTGTCTTTTTAACTTATGATGATGTTTTAATTAATGTTTAACTGTGTTTTTTATTATTGTTGTTGGCATCTAATGGTTGACGGTTGTAAGTCACCCTGAGTCCCCTCTGGGAGTGAGAAGGACAGGATATAAATGTCTGAAATAAATAAATAAATAAATATTGAATCCTATTAAATTAATAACTTCTTGTAGGAGCACAGAATAGAATCATTGGAGGATATTGAAAATGTTTAGAGAGGACATTTCTCTGGGCATCTCTAGGTCATCCAGTATCACTCTGTGGTCAACTTCTATGGAAGCTTATCATACAATCATCTGAAGGACTAGAGAAGGCCTAGAAAGGCCTTTTTGTCAGATATGGTTAAATTAAAGCATGGGCACCAGTCCTGTGGATACTGTGGTAGTGCTATATTTACCTTTTCATAACTGCAGTATGGCAGTGTTACTTTTTGTACTGCAACTCCCATGCTCTTCCAGTCAGTATAGCTCCCAGCTTTGACCACCACCTGCTATTGATACAGTCAGTTGTATAGAGCTTTGTTAAGAAAACGATGCTCCTTGTAGCTTATGAGGGAAGTGCATTGCATGGGAGAACAACCATGGGCTTAAATCACACAATAATAGTCATATTTGTAAAGTGTTGGCCCTTTTGTTGTGGAATTTTGAAGAGGGGAAAGGTAGGGTACACAAAATTAAGAGGCTTGAGTGGAAGAACTGGTCCTGCCAAACTACAAGGCATCATAAAATTTGGAGATCTGGGAGATTGGCTCACCTGCTTGAAGAAGGTCAGTGGCTATATGGCAGGACATGCTAGGTTCTCAGAGACAGAACCATGGTGCGTTCCTCTGCACTAAATTGTTTATTGATGTCTTCATTTGCTCATAATTACATTTCAGTAACAATACAAACTGTAATTTCATATTTTATAGTTACATCATTGATGAGTCATTGTGGTCACCATAGAATGAGAGAATTAACCATAAATCTGTACAGTTTGGCTGTTGGTTCCTTCCTCTCCTGCCATAAGGAGCATTCACACACACACACATTGCTTATCTAAGGGATGGGAACAAGGAATGAGTTTGATCTGGCAGAATCGATCTGAAGCTCTCATCTCTTTTTCCATGAGGAGAATAACACAGAGCTCCATGTCTCTCTCTCCACAGAAAAGGGCTATTCATCATCCAACTGAGAAAAAAAGTTCAGTCTGTGCATCATATTTTGCTGCACACACTTGGTCACTGCTTTGAAGGGTTAGGCAACAGGGCTGTATGCTCAACAATAAGAATCTAGGATCTTAAAACATTACTTTCATTTACTATTTGGGAATGGTTGCTTAATAAAGATGAAATCTAATACTCTTTTCTTTGTTTTTAGGCCATGCATTTTGGCTGATGTTCAGTACCTTTTGAATGATGGTGGGTGCATCTAAAGTTCTGGTGGTCTTCTACATGCTCTCCTGTAAGGTCCACCAAGTCCTTCTTTCTGACCATTGTTCAAACACAAAGGAAGTTAAGTATTAAACCTAAGAAAATACTAAATCACCAGATTTCATTACTTTATTAACAGATTTTTATAAGACATTGAATAATGGCTTGAACAAACATGCATTGTATGTTGCCTTAAAGTCCAAATTATTAGGAGAGGAGGAGCAATGGTGGTAATAGTAGTGGTATGCCAAAACATTTCTGTTAAATCAGAGTCAGGAGTGGGCAACTTCTAAGGGTGACTGTAAATCTAGAAATTGCTTATAATTCAAGCAGAGCTTGGTGGGGAGCAAAATCAACTACAATTTCAAAAAAATTGCAAGGTACTATTCTTATTTGGCAGACTGGATCCAGAACTTTGAAACCTTTAGCTAGCCTTTACAGTTTAAAAAACTCAGACCAGGTTCAGCATCTGACTGAAATGAAAGGTACGAGCTGCTACTAATTTTTCCTCATTTCTTTCAAAATTGATTTTAATAGTATTTTGAGATATCCCTTTATAGGATTATTTCCAAGTTTTGCCCCATTCTCTTGGAAATCCTATTTTTACGTAGCAGTAAACAATAAGAAGGCAACAACTAGCAGTGTAATAATATTTTTTGTTGCGTCAGGAGTGACTTGAGAAACTGCAAGTAACTTCTGGTGTGAGAGAATTGGCTGTCTGCAAGGACATTGCTCAGGAGACACCCGGATGTTTTGGTGTGTTAACATCCTTGTGGGAGGCTTCTCTCATGTCCCCTCATGAGGAGCTGGAGCTGATAGAGGGAGCTCATCCGCACTCTCCCCGGATTCAAACCTGCAATCTGTCGGTCTTCAGACCTGCTGGAAGAAAGGTTTAACCCACTGTGCCACTAGGGGCTCCTCAGTGTAATAAATAATGAAAGTATGTTATTTTTTAGACATGGTGAACAATGGGAACAAATAAGAATTTAAAAAGTAACTTTTTAGTCTCTGGTTATGGGGCCTCATACATCTCTTCTGTCAGCATTTATATAGATCAGTTATAAAGATATACATTACACATTTCCATCAAATCATATACTGAATTAAAGATGTGGGTGTGTATCTGAAAGAGCCAAACATGTGATGAATGACAAATCACTAGATGTTTCCATTGCAGAATTTTAAAGATGCACATTAAACATGCACCTGTATTAGGGACTTTTGAGGGGATTTCTCCAGATTCATCTCATTTAAAGGGCAGACATGCTAGCCGATGAGTAAAAAAAAATCCCTATAATTGTGGCATTCTCCTATTCTGCATTTAGTGTAATGGTTAAGGCTGGCTCATATTCTTTCACATATATTTGAATCACATACACATCTGTCTCACCTAGTCAAGGATATGTATCATCCGTTTGTCTGATCTAAGTGGAAGTACTCAAATGATTCAGTTTATACTGATGGCTCAGCTTTTCTCACAGTTCCTAATAATTTGGGAGTAGATGAAAATCACTAAAATCACGTGGCCTTATAAAATGCATCAAATTAATTTTTTTTCGAATACATAATATAATGTTTCAGTGATATTAATGTGAGCCCAAAACCTCTTGTATCATATATTTACCACTTTTACATGGGGTGTAAAAGTAATAAAGTTTGGCAGCACTTTAACTGCCATGGCTCAATGCTATGGAATCCTGGGATTTGCAGTTTGGTGAGGCACCAGCACCCTTTGGTAGAGAAGGCTATAGACCTTGTAAAACTACAGCTCTCATGATTTCATAGCATTGAGTCATGGCAGGTAAAGCAGTGTCAAAATACATCAATTCTATAGTGTAAATGCACCTTTTGTTTCTATCTACTGTGTTTATGAACATATCTAGTTACAAAAGATTTATGGTAAGATATTGATGGCATTATCTTTTTTTCAACCCAGGTTTAATAATCTGTTATGGACGTGTGTGGACAGAACCAGCTTCACTCATTCAGATGGGCCAGAATGTTTCTGTCAACTGCCATTCTGATAAAGACTTCTGTCAGAATGGTAAACTGTATTTAATCCTAAATAACGTCCGTGTCAAGGATCGGTCATTGACAGTTATAAACAAGACAACAATCCAGCTTCACCTTCATGATTATCAACATCCAGTTTCTACGGTCCAGTGTTATGTTGAATGTCCCAAAGAAACAAAAATGATATGTGGAACACAATTTTGTTTGGGCTGTGAGTAATATATGATGATGCAGTGATTTTTTTTCTTTGACTTGTAGGCTGTGCTACAATTACTATTTCTATGATTACTTGTAGAAATAGCCACCAGTTTATTGATAAGAGCAACATTTTGGAGATTAGTCATTATGGATGTCCCATTCTCAATTATGTATCGATAGAAAATCATTTTTGGGTCAGTGGAATTATCTTTTGAATGGTTGAGCTCAAGCTGTCTGCTTGTATTTCTCTCCCTCTATCTTCTTAAAGAAAATGATATTACTGTGTTTTAAAACATTTTGAATAATAATAATAATAATAATAATTATTATTATTATTATTATTATTATTTTATTTCTTACCTGTCTCTCCTCATGGCTTGAGACAGCTTACAACATTGCTAAAACACATAATCAAAGCACATAACCTCACAACCTCTGAGGATGTGTGCCATAGATGTAGACAAAATATCAGGAGATAATGCTTCTAGAACATGGCCATACAGCCCGAAAAACCTACAACAACCCAAAGCAAATAATTTAAAAAAAACTCTAGAATACACATATTAAAACATATTTGCATAAAATATATATTAAATACACAAAACAAAAATTAGACATAGAATGGAAGTTTGTCATTAAAAATGCCTAGGTGAAAATAGAGTGACTTAGAATTGTAATACAGTAATTAGTGGAGCTTAGATACTTTACTCTTCAGACAACAAATCTTAGATTCCCCCCCCCCCCCCCCAAGACAGTTTTTTTAATGATCCCAGTTTCTGGAGTTTGATACATTTATGGTTTGTTTGTTTGTTTTTATTAAATATAATCTTACATGCTTTGTGATTTTTTAGATCTACCAGACAAACCAGCCAATTTAACTTGTTTCATACATGAATATTTGGACAATATGACGTGCACTTGGGACCCAGGCAAGAACACTCATTTAGACACTAGCTACACCTTATATTTGAACAGGTAAGAAAGTTATTTGAAGTATCTGAAATCAAAACTACTTGTATCCCATGCCTTGGAACAGTAGTATTTTCCAACCTTTTTTGGACCAGGGACCCCTTGATCAAGGACCATTTTGACCAGGGACCACTCTCTAACATTAGTACCAAAAGGGTTACAAATCAGTTAAGATTTGGTTTAGTTATTTGGGGTGGTGATTCAGAAAACTACATTGGATAGACCACATCGGCTCTAGTTTCTTATACAGCAGGTATGCCATCCAGTAGGCACCATCTGCTTGCCCACAGAAAACCATATTTAATAATTTAGAGTTGATGTGATCTAGCCAATGAAATTTTCTGAATAAGCACCCCCCCAAAAAAACCAGAAACAGGCCTAAAAACAAAGACACCAAGATGCCCCCACTTCCAAGCACCACATAGAATGGCTCCACTCAGGGGGATAGAGGAGGAGGAGAAGCAGAAGTCAAGGGGCTTGTTTTTGAGGCTTTTGTGGGTAGTCAGCCTCTCAACATCCACGTTGCCTCAGCACTATAAGAGGGTTTTGTGAAACCAGTCGCTCTCATTGCAATGGTGTAGAAATTGTGAGTCCGCTGACCATATTTTAGTTCCAGCGGACCACTGATGGTCTGTGGGCTACAGGATGGGAACCACTGCCTTGGAGGATTATTGAAGCATGTTGCAAATGAAAAGTGAATTGATGGGCAATGCATTTCACTGGCTCACTTCTCTTTGATTCTAGAGTAGTATTTTTCTCCCATGCTGTCTCTTTTGGTCACTTGGGTTTCTTCAAAACTGGCGGACTGTTCTTCTGCTATCTCAGAGCCACAAAGAAATCTACAATCAAAAGAGAAATGTGTTGATTTATATGGTATTTCCCTCATTGATAGCAGTTGGAATAAAACATTATGAGTGTCCTGTCCATGCCAACATCCAATAAATCAGCAAAGAACAGTCCAGTCTCCGAACAGTGAGACTGAATGTTTAAGGATAAACTCACTGAAGAAATTTGAGAGTCTGCATGGAAATAAATTTGGGGAGATTCCAAACATTTGGCCTACGTCTTCATAGTCTGTCCTTCTTAAGGAGATTTAGAGATGCTGCAGCTCAGAGTCCAAAATTCAAATGTGTCTGGTACTCATCCAACTTGGGAATAGTACTGATCTTTTAGCTCCACTAATTTCCTGGTATTATATTGCAATGGGCTGGCCAATTATATTGACATTTAGATCCAGCTCTACCTCGTACTCCATTTATAGCTTTGGGTGAACCATTTGTCTCCAGGTATTAACTGGAGATGGAGTGGGAAGAAGTCATCATGTCAGCAATTAGAAGGCACTGTGAAACTATAGGCTTTTTTTTTTACCTCTAAATAGACTTTTAGAAAGCCAAAAAGGATGGAGAAAAGGAGAAGTGTGATCATCTCATATGGTTAGTGAATGATACGGAACAATAGGATGCTTCAGAATTCATCTGAAATTACTATCTCTCTGGTTCAGTATTGTGCCGGTAGTCACCTGAGGGCCCTTCCAGGCAGGCCCTATATCCCAGGATCTGATCCTAGGTTTTCTGTTTATCCCAGATTATCTGGCAGTGTGGACTCATATAATCCAAGCAGAAAACCTGGAATCAGATCCTGGGATATAAGGCCTGTCTGGAAGGGCCCTGAATGATTCTTAGAATACAAGTGCTGGGGAAATACATATGTCACACCTCATCTAGTGCAGAGATATGGAAAGTGTGGCCTGTGAACCACATGGGGCAATAAGACTTTTTGGGGTCCTAAGATTTCCTTAGCAACCCTTTCTTTCTTCCCAAACCTGTTCAGCTTTGAGTTCCTGTTGTTGAAAGTGATGAAATTATTTTGTGCCTCCCAGGGATGTGAGTGGTATTTGGAGACAATGTGGAAAATATTTCCAACTTTTTTGAAAGATGGCAAAGCAGGGCTGGGGGGAGGGAATAGTTTTCAAGATCCCATAAAGTCCCAAGGTGACCAACATATTGGCAGCTGTCAACTCCTGATTTAGTTTCATACTAATTAAATACAGGAGTAGTTCTAAACTATCACAATTAATGAAAGGTACATTCATGAGCTTGGTTTGGCTTGAACTGGAATGATGAACTTTGCTAAAGGTGAGGGACATGTAGTTCAAAGTGGCATAGCAAAGTGTGAGGTAGTGTGAAGCATTTTATACCTGCTTTACTGTTGTGATTTTTGTATTCATAAGTATATGTCTTTAGTCTCAATGAAACACTTGAAGAATATTTCATGGAATGATACATCCCAGGAGTTGTTTTAAAATGCAGAGTAATCTTAAGAGGCTGCAGTTATGAACTTGTGACATTCTGAAGGCCAGAAGAGCAATGGGCGGAAGAGCTGAAGAAGGTTCATTATCTGTTAACTATTTTACAAAACAACATCTTTCTCAACTTATTTACCCATGTAGAATTACAAATGCATATTTGTCTGGAACATAGGGAAGGAGAAGAACTGCTTGTACTGGATTCTGCTGGAGAAATAGTAGGACATCTAGCCTGGAACTTGGAAAAAATTACTTTTGAGGATTACAGTCATCGGAATCCCTCAACCAACATGGCCACTGAAGTTATAAAGTTATATTATTTTGGGGCTATAATCTAAAGAGTCACTTTGCTAAGCTTTTCTAAACCTATATTTTTCATTTGAAAAGGCCACTTCTAATCTTGTTGTGGCTGTGTGATATGCATTTGCCTGGAACATAAAGTTTGGTCTTAAAACTAGGTTAGTTACAAATTCAGGCAAGAATTAAGAAATGACAGAGATGCAACTGATGTTGTGGTCTGACTATGGGGACTAAACTTGTGGTTAAACAACCACAAACCAAGTAGGATTATGCATGTGCTGTAGGTCTTGAATGCTAGAAAACAAGGTAGTGTCCTACTTACACTTTCTGGGGAAAAAACAGGTCACCAGACTTGCCTTTAACTCTAGACCTGATCTTAAGAAAAGAAATGCTTTTTCCCTCTGAGTAAAACACTTTGCTCTCACCCAATAATGTTCAAGCAGAAGATTTTCTGTTATTGGGCATGAGAAGTAGCACTGATATTTTATAGATTCCGTGTACAAAACAAAACACACTGTGCAGACATGATCACAATCCTGAATCCTGGTTTGGGATGTAAATTGTCCTTTATGGAGCCTCTCCTACAAGAATTGACCATGCCATGAGGAAAAAGTGAGATTGATTCCTCAGGAAACTCACTCTGGAGTGCCGTGAAAGGACAGTCAATTGTTACTTATTTCTTATTGCATGGTTACTCCTAGACAGAAGTGCTTGTAAACTTTTCTCGCTTGGGTGGGAAAAGAACTTTAACCAATTTCAGATGCTATGTACCTTAACTTGGAGATTAGGGGGTCATTTTCTCTTCTACCTGAAAAGGAGTAGAATATCTTGACCTAATTGCAACTATTCTTTTCCCTGAGTCGATCCACTGCCTTCATGTCACTGTTGTCATTTGAAGTCCCTGTAAAATTCCATGAAATACAAGAAATTCAATGGATTTTACAAAGTTAGAAAGATAGAAAGAGAATGAATGAGTGCATGTTTATTTCAAAGAACTAACTACAAAAGAGGAAAAAGGAAATAGAGAGGGAAGTGAGACGTAAGTGAAACAGTTCAGAGAAAGAAAGAGATGAAGAGATAAAGGCCAACTGTAGCAAGAAAGACACATCTGGTCGCAGCAAGAATGGAGAAAATCATTTTAAAATTTGGGGATTTTGTTTTTGTGTGTGTGAGGAAAGTGGTCCAACTCAAAGAAGGAAAATCAAAAGCCCCAGTTTGCTATTACGTTATTCTGCAAATTTTCAGAAAACAATAGGCATAATTAACATGATTCAGTTGTGTTACAGGGATTATGCTGGTTGAAGAAATCCGAGGGCTATAGTTTAAAAAAAAACACAACTTTCCCAATCTTTGAACGCAACAGAGTTTACACCCTGGATAGTTTCTTCCACAGATGGTCTAAAATTGCAGCTTGACACTGAACTCTCCTACTGATATCAATGGGACTTTCAAATGCCTACGAATGGTTGGCTCACACTCCATATATATGTTTTAATGCTCTTAATCTTGTTTACATTTTTAATTGAAGTGTTTCTTTAATTGCATATTGGATGTATATTGTTTTAAGACATTAAATTATTGCCTATGCTATAAGCCACCTTGATTCCCCCTCAGAGTCGAGAAAGATGGGATATAAATATAGTAAGTAAATAAATAAATAAAATATGGAAGTTAACATAACTCTGTGTTTTTGTTATACTGTAAGATGGATCTCCTCAGTGCTGACTAAGATATGTATAGAACTGAAATGCTAACAAATTTGGCTTAATATTTAATATATCGGAATGTTTTTCTTAGGGTTATACAGTACATAGAATATAATCTATCAATAACTTCTGAATGTTTTCAGAAATCTCTACCTCAGATTAATGTTTTATAGAAATATCAAAATAATATGTATTTTGATTATTTTATCTTATAGTTTACCACCAAAAGAGAACAAAACATTTTCTGCAAATAATACCTTTGTCATCATCCCCCTGAGTCAACTGCAAGAAAGACAACAATTTTCCGTTTTGGTCCATGTTGAAAATGATCTCGGCACAGTGTATTCAGATCCACTGCATTTTGACCTCAATGATATAGGTAGTATTTATAGTAATTTGAAGACTTTTTCATTAAGAATTGCTTTTAACATTGTTGGTTTTTTAAAATCTTACTGTTTAAGTAGTAAAAGTTAATAATGAGAATTTAATTGATGTTTGATAATATGATGTCAGAACTCTACACAGATGACCTGTAACAAAAAGATTCAGTGTATTCTTGCAACCTAATTGGCTGTCTCCTGTTCAGAATCCAGCAGGTCATTCTATTTCTGATTGGCCAACATTTCCCATATTGACCTAACATAAAAGTCAGGGTTTTGTAGCTACTGGGCATGTTCAGTCCTCACATAGCTGATCTGGGAAAGAGGAGTTATCCTCTAGGCTCTTGCAAATATTAGGTACCCATCATTTGCTTTTCATTATCCCTGTTTTGGCTAAATACTATCAGCACTCTCCACCTGACCACTATTTAGAAGTGATACTTTTAATTATATGAAAAAAAAGGTTTGTGTTTTGGTCTGTTTTTGCTCTCTGAATGGAAAGAGTCCTAATTCAAAGATCCTTTTGAATCCTTTGTCCATGGTTGCTGGTGGATTCCATGTTAGCTAAGCAGTAGATCCATTCTTGGTTTCAATCTGAGCTTTAAAGAGATTATCTAAGATACTGAATCTACTAATTTGAAGGTAGGTTCAACATCCAGGATAGCTTATTCAAAGTCCCTATTTGAGTGCAATTGGATTGAACCAAAACATGTCCGTTAGGCCTAAATCTTGCTGGTAGTCCTAAATGTCAGTCAGACATTCATGAGATTTACGTGTTGACTCATTAGTCAATGAGACAGTTCTGATTGGGCTTCCCAATAGGATTCAGACTTTAGAATCCAACTAAAATATATAGAAAGCAAATGCACAGTTCAAGAGAACTATTTCTATAAGAACATTGGAAAAATGTGCAATGTAGGCCTGCCAAATCCAGCATTTTGTCCCCATAATGGCTAGCCAGTTGACTATGCCCCATCCATGACCAATAATAGCTGGTGGCTTCTGTGTCAAAGAAGGACATTCATTCCAGCTTTCAGTTAAATAACTATCCAAGGTGCTAAACTCTGTCCTTCAAATTAGGGGCCCTTCCACACAGCCCTATATCCCAGAATATCAAGGCAGAAAATTCCACAATATCTGCTTTGATTTGGGTTATCTTGAGACCACACTAACATATATTCCAGTTCAAAGCAGATAATGTGGAATTTTATTCAGCTGTGTGGAAGAGGCCTAGGTTCAATATCTTGGTTAGGCCCTTCAATGTTCAGACTAAACCCCATAATGGATTCACTGCTTCATTGAGACAGTATCATTAGCCAAAGTGAATTAACTAATTACCAATGCTCAAAAGTAGGTCTTGAGTATACAGTAATAGGACCTTCCTACTTGTGAACTCCAGCAACTCATATACAAAGTTATCATACACCTGTAGCTAATATGCTTCTGTTCAAACTTAGACCAAATCAGCCTCTAAATTTGGCCAAATATTAGCCGGTTTGTCTGCACATACTGAAGTTACGGTAATATTCTTGCATCTTTTCAGTGATCCCAGCTACACCTATTGTTATCCAAAATACAACTATAGACTCTTCGGAGTTTAAGACTATAATATGGTGGCAAAAACAAACTGCAATCAATGGAACCTACTGTGAAGAACGTTATAAGGAGACGGCAAGTGAAATGTGGCATGTAAGCAATTTGTTTTTCTGTGGAGCAGAGACGGGAGTACCCCCAATCTCCACCACAATTCTGAAGAGGCAGATCAATTGGTGGTACAAAATAAGACAAATGCAACCACACAGACTCCCAGCCCTATGCCTTCTAGAACAAGAAAACCACAAAGAGTGGTCATCTTGGCTTAGCAGATTTGGCCACACAGTTAGTAGGTTAGGTTTTGCCCCCCACGAGTTAAAAAATTTTGGGGCAAATGTATGCTCAATTGTATACCAAAGAGCTCTCGACATTGCTGCACAAAATGATCTAATGAACATAGCGCAAGCTAGAGCCACTCCATACCTGGCCAAATTTAAATGTAATGTGGGCATGGAACCTTACCTCTCTTTTATACTTCCATTCTATCTTAGAAAAGTTTTTACCCGGGCTAGATTCGAGCAGCTCGACATTAAGTCCAAGTTGGGACGACATCAGAATATCCCCTACACGATGAGAACCTGTGGGTGCCGTGAGGTAGATGCAGAAGTGGAGGACTCAGAACATTTTTTCTTAAAATGTCCCTACTACAACAGGATCCGGTCTTACTACCTAGAGCCTCTGCTGGAGAACCATACTTATTCAGAAAATAAGGAGAAATTGCGCATCCTTCTTCAGGGTTCAGATAAAAACTCTATTTTAAAATTGACCCTTTTTACCCAAAAAGCGCTGGCCATCCGTGAGAAGATGGAAGCAGAGAGAGGCGACCTTGCTGCCATCAACAAAACTCAAACTTAAAAACTTAATATGGACACGCCACTAGTTTTACCTACCCATGCCCCCCACCCTAACCCTATTTTAAGGAATTAATCAAGTTTTAATCTTTTAGCCTCTTTGTCTTGTAGTTGCTCAATTATTTGGGAGTGGGTCGACAGGCCAGTAGGCCATGATGCCTTGTGTTCATATGTGGTTTTACTGTATGTGTATGTTTTGCATGTTTTGATATGGTCAAAATTGACTAATCAATAAAGAATTGTTGTTGAGTGTTTTTCTGTGATTTATATATGATTTATATATAGAGGCAGCAATAGCTTGACTGTTGCATTTTACTCATGTTAGTGCCAAATCTTGCCTACATAACCTTTATAGATTTCCTAAGATGGGCTTCTGTCCTTCTACTGGTTCAGTAGAATGGATTTTAGCTATAATTTCTTATAGCAAAGAAGAATTCCAAAAATGAGTTTATGAATTTGAATGGATGGGCAGTTAGAAGGCTTATGTACTATTTGGCCTTATAAATATTTTTCTCTTGTACGTAATGACTACTTTCACCAAGCCACAGTGTTTAGAACCTCATGTCCTTGTGCATCATTTACAGGAAGGGTGAGGAGAGGAGAAATCAAGATCTATTGCAAATTTTGGGAAATGTTACACTTTTGGACATGCTGGCTGAAGAAGTCAAGTATTTACTTTCCAAACTTTGAAATTTTCCAAGCTCTATTATACAAATCAAATACATTTGTAGGCTAAACTATGTAACAAAATTTGAAAATAAAAATTCTGTTACTAGGTTGAAAATGTTATTTCCTGTTTAATTGTGTAGCACTCACCCTGAAAGTAGTCGTTACACTCCAGAAACTTTGTTTTTGTGGCTGCCACAAACTATGTTGAATTGGTTGGGACTCTATGAGATATTCATTGAAAAACTATAGCAAAATGTGCTGCAGTATATCCTGCAAAAACAAAGGTTTTGCAGTTTAATAAACCTTTTCCATGTTTTATAATAGAACCAATTCGGAAATGACATTTTTAACCCAAGAATAATAATGGTGTTACATAGTGTTGTTTGCAGTAGATTGACATTTTTAAATGAATGTAAGCATATATATTTAGGACTGCTATTGTAGGCTGCTGAAAGTTTGTAGTAATCAGAGTTTACTATTCTGTGAGGGAGTGTGAATCCAGTTCAGTTTTCTTACTGAAAACAAATTTCTAAGCTCAAAATATTCTGAGGTTTTCTTTTATTTAACTCTAAGTGCATAGCCTCCGCATTTAGCTCTGATTGGATCTATGAACCAATCAATAATTTTTAAAAATTAGCAAGTAGCTCTGGTAAGTCTGAACTCTGTCTATGTTGTTGTTGTTGTTGTTGTGTGTGCCTCTGAGTTATTTCTGACTTACGGTGGCCCTAAGGTAACCCTATCATGGGGTTTTTCATGAGCTGAGAGTGTATGACTCACCCAAGGTTACACAGTAGGTTTGTATGGCTGAAAGGGGGAATCAAACCCTGGCCTCCAGAGTCATCATCAAATGCTCAAACCACTACACCACACTGGCTCATATCGATAATATGCACAGTGATATATTTTCTGTAAAAGTCATTCTTCATTTTTATATGTGTGTGGTTCATTGATTACGCTAAACAAGAAAAAAAGAACAATTAAAGCCTAAACTCTCCTTAAAAGCCAAAATTACCAAACTGAGACTGTCATACTTTAGGCATATTGTGGGAAGACATAACTCACTGGAAAGGACAATAATAGTTGATATAGAGAAAGGCAGTAGGAGAAAAGGAAAACCACATTCCAGATGGAGAGACTCAGGACCCCAGAATATCAAGGCAGAAAGTACCACATTATCTGACTGTGGACTCAAATAACCCAGTTCAAAGTATATAATATGAGATTTTCTGCCTTGATATTCTGTGTGGAAGGGCCCTTAATCAAGGAAGATATAGATCTGAGTCTTCAAGGTCTGAGAAGGGCTGCTGGTGACAGTTACTTGGAGATCTCATAAGCCCAAGTCAATTTGAGGCAGTAAATTGCAACAACAATGACCAGCATTCTATTATCCAGGTAGCCTAAGGAACTCGTCACATTGACTGAACCGGGCATCATAGGATGCTTCCAGCTTGCTTCGGGGATGGAGCTCCATGCCTGCCATCACACAATGCCATATGACTTCCACCCCCAACCAGGGTGGAAGCATCCTTGTATGCTTCCCTCCAAACATATTGTACTGGCTGCAATGGTTTGGGTGATGCTTTCTCCATGTCATGGGGGAAGCAGCGCTGCACTGGAGCAAATAACAAATAACAATTTTAAAATTAACTTTTAAATCTCTGGCTATGGGGCTTCATACATATCTTCTATCAGTTATGAAGATATACATTAAGCATTTCTGTCAAGTCATATCGTGAATTAAAGATTGTGATGGCACGCATGAGCCTTTGGGAAAACTATGGCTTTACTCGAGAACTATCTGTATACCTTCTGTTAAGATTAAGACCCTGAGCAGACAGAGGCATTTTAGGCAAGGTGAACTGATAACCAAAATGAGTTTACTGAAAATAGGATGAATAAAGGGTTAACTCAACCTGGGACTATCATAAGGTAACTTAAAACAATACATTACAAAAGGTGATTTTGCTGGTTGCAGTCATCTTTCTGGAATCTTTGAAAGTCTTTTTCCTCTGGTGTAAAGTGATGGATTATAAATTGTTGCTTACAAACTGCCTTAATCTTATCTCTTGTGAAGCTTAGGCTGCCAAAAGCTTCTGTTGTCCTTTGGACTGTTGGTATAATAATACTGCTAAATGCAGCAGGTGCTAAGAATGCTTGCTGTTGGATTGCTTGGCCTAGGATTATCAGACAATGTCCTAAGCTTCTTGTGGCTGTAAAAAAAGGGAGGAGTCTAGCAAGAGAGCTCTACACAGGGAAATGGCATAGACCAACTAAGACTAGCCTCTCTGAGATGTTATGCTCCACCTAAAAACTAATACAAAGGAAGGTGTCTACACTGTTGGGAAAATCTATGAATGGGAGAACTGAAGCAAATGAGAAGAAAAGGCAGTGCCAAGACTTCACAAAGATGTAGGTGTATATGTAAAGGAGTCACTCATGTGATGAATGATCAATCACTAGATAGTTCAATTGCAGATCTTTAAAAAAATCCTAGTGCATATTAATCATAGGGACGTTTGAGGGGATTTCTCCAGATTAATGTCATTTAAAAGGTAGACATGCTGGCCCATGAGTAAAAAAAAACCCTTTAATTGTGGCTTTGGCCTATTCTGCACTTAGTGTAATGGTTAAGGCTGGTTCATATACTTTCATATATATTTGAATCACGTACATATCTGTCTTACCTAAACAAGGATATGTATCATCAGTTTTGTCATCAGTAAACTGGAACATGGCCAAACAGCCTGAAAAACTCACAACAACCCACTATCATTAGTTTGTCTGATCTAAGTGGAATCACTCAAATTATTCAGTTTATATGGACTGCTCTGCTTTTCTCACAGTTCCTAATAATTTGGGAGTAGATGAAAACCACTGAAATCATGTGGCCTTATAAAATACATCATTTTAAAAATATGTAATATAATGTTTCAAGGATACTAATCTGAGCCCAAAATCTCCTTTATCTTAGTGATTTACCATTTTTACTTAGGGTGCATCTACACTGTAAGCATTATACAGTTTGACACCACTTTAACTGCCATGGCTAAATGATATGAAATCCTGGGATTTGTAATTGGTGAGGCAATTGGTAGAAAAGGTGATAGACCCTGATCCTGTTTGCTCCAACTTATAGGAAGGGGTTGGTAACAGTATCCTGTAGTGCCCTTCTCGTTTCTATCCCTTTGGATAGATTTTAAGGTGGTGTTCAGGATTTGGGAGTTAAAATATAGCTATGACATAATGGCTATGTCTTTGATGCAGGATCTTGGTTATGAATTGTAGTAATAAGTAAGGCATAGCTACTGAGCAAAGATCACATGGCTAGCATAAAGCATAATTGCAGAAGCTTTTATAATACATGACATAAAGGATTATGTTGAAATACTAAACAAAATAATAATCAAGGTATAATAGACAGCAAGTACAGTATGACCCACCATATCTATAAATTGGATAACCATGGTTCCACTTACCAACTTCCAAAAAATACCCCAGTTTCTGCAATAATTGCCCCCCTTTAAAAAAATCTTCATTTCATGTAAGCTGAAAAAACTTAACAATATTGTAACTGAATTCCATTGCTTCTCCGTGTTAGGTTCGAGAATGGGATTCTGATTTTAAGACAGACCATCGCAGTGAATACAATCTGGAGGCAAACACAATGTATGAGTTTCAAGTGAGATGCAAATTAACTCATGAGAGGGCTTTCTGGAGCAGATGGAGTGAGTCCTTAGTGTATATGACTCCGGAGGCAGGTGAGTGACATAATTTCTTGGCTTTCAAACCATTAGTTATAGATGTTTCTAGAGCTGAGATAGTGAAAGGAGGCAAAGTGGCATTGAAGCAGGACCAAGACGGTTACTGTTGCTGATATGAGTTTTAAAGGCCATTTAAATGTATTTATCGTATTTTAATCCTGCTTTTACCATACAGTTACTGTTTAATTGCTTTTTAACTTTTGTATCACACTTTTTAAGCTTGTCTAGTGTGGATTGTTAGCTGCCTCACAGGGGTATAATTATAACAATAATAATAAACTTTATTTCTAGACCGCCCTCGCTCTTCGAAGGGACCCAGGGCAGTTTACACACAAAAGAAGGCAAACATTCAATGCCCTAAATTATTTATTTATTTTCAGTATTTATATTCTGCCTTTTTACCCTGAAGGGGACTGATGGCAGATCACAGAACATATACACGACAAACATTCAATGCCATTCAACAGACAGGACAGACGACAGATAGAGGTTAAATGTCCTTTGACCACTATCTGGCCACTTGGAGTGCCTCTGGTGTTGCCGCAAGGAGGTCCTCCATTGTGCATGTAGAAGGGCTCAGGTTGCATTACAGCAGGTGGTCAGTGGTTTGCTCTTCTCCACACTTGCATGTTGTGGATTCCATTTTGTAGCCCCATTTCTTAAGATTGGCTCTGCATCTCTGTTCAGCGCCTTCCAAGTCGCCCAGTCTTCTGTGTGCCCGGGGGGAGTCTCTCATTTGGTATCAGCCATTGATTGAGGTTCTGGGTTTGAGCCTGCCACTTTTGGGGTGTTCCAGCAAGTGTCTCTGTGGATCTTAGAAAACTATTTCTTGATTTAAGTCATTGACGTGCTGGCTGATACCCAAACAAGGGATGAGCTGGAGATATCACTGTTTTGGTCCTTTCACTATTGGCTGCTACTTCCCGGCAGATAGACAGTGTAATTTCTTCAGTGGTGTAGAGCGCAGACAATGCGCCATGTCTCTTTAAGAGCCACATCCACTGTTTTAGCGTGGTGAGATGTGTTCCACACTGGGCATGCATACTCAGCAGCAGAGTAGCATAGCGCAAGGGCAGATGTCTTCACTGTGTCTGGTTGTGATCCCCAGGTTGTGCCAGTCAGCTTTCGTATGATATTGTTTCTAGCACCCACTTTTTGCTTGATATTCAGGCAGTGCTTCTTGTAGGTCAGGGCATGGTCCAGAGTGACTCCCAGATATTTGGGTGCGCTGCAATGCTCCAGTGGGATTCCTTCCCAGGTGATCCTCAGAGCTCGGGATGCTTGTCTGTTCTTAAGGTGAAAAGCACCTTAAGGTGCTTTATATGGAGTGGTGGGAGTGCAGGAAGATAACATTGCAAACTTATGGAGAAGTAAAAGTGCAAAACCACAAACTGACAACTTGTTGCAGATTCACAAATGGTGAGATACTAGGGGTGCTCATGTTCTAATGCATCCCTATTGGTGACCTCATAACTGCCATGGAATAGTGGCTTCATGCGATAAAGCCCTAAAAGCATTGTACAGACTTTGCCCTGCCTCATGGAAATTTTTGAAACAAGGAAAAAAGAAATAAGAGGGTTACAAGTGGGAGATGACGTCATCCAGAACCTTCATAAAAAGTCATATTTTCAGCAGAACAATCATTCTGTCGCTTGCCTGGAAGCAATATGAGGAAGCATATATGGCTGTTGTGTCCAAAACAGCTTTCTGATCATTTTCAGCACAGTTTTATGTTCAAAGTACCTTCAGGAAGCATATATCAACTCAGGAACTGGAATGTTAGATTATATCTTTGCCTGTGCCCTCATTTCCTGTGTTTTCTTCAAAAGAGCACAACCGAATAATTATTGCATCATAGCGTAGTGTAGTTATGCTGCCAGCTTTTACATCTATTATGCAGCTTAATTAGTGTAGTTATTATGCTAACATGCTGCAAGCTTCTCAATTTCAGAAATATATGAGGAGAAAAAACCCCAGGTGGAATGACATATCTCTGTAAATAGTCCCTCTCACTTTCAGTTTTACCATGACCTGGAAATTCATGCAACACTTAGGAATCAAACCAATTGTGCTTGTTTTGTCACTGTTAGAGAGGAATCAATAGCACATTTCCCGCTACCCTTCTTTCAACTTCAATATGCAAATAAATGTGATTTACATCACAGCCTTACACAGACCAACCCAAAAGAGAAGTTGGACATTACTTTTTTTTAAATTTTCAGCTCCAAAAACTCCCTGCCCTCTGTACCCTCTGGCCATGTTTGCTGAAGGGTTTGGGGAATTATAGTCCCAAAAAGTAACTTTTCCAAGTTCCATCAATTCATATAAGTCAATATGAATATAAGGGTCCTCCAGATGCAGTTACATTGCAACTTGCATAGATGCTAGCAAGTATTGGCAATTGTGAAGCATGCTACATCTGGAGCACCATAAATCACCCACTTCTGAAGTGGTAGCTATTGGACCACATCTTTGGCAATATATATACACACAATATATATACACAGGGAGGAATCCCACCACCCTCCAGATATCTTTGTAGTGCAACCCCCTCCAACTTCAGGCAACATAGTCAATGGTATGGAGTGCTCGGAGATGCAGTAATAATGTCTGGCATGAAGCATATCAACAAAACGAAATGGGACACTCGTCTTCATTTTGTATCTGCCAGTCCTGTAGGTAAGCTTAACTATCAGAGTAGAGCCAAAGAAGCAGAGAGATAACATGGATTATGGAAATTATTTGGTTCAACTAATCATATCAAAGAAAAAGAAAACATATTTGTTTGTTAACTATGAACTTTGGGAGGATTTGAGAGTACCTTAGGATGAGCATTGGAGCAGGACCAGACTACGCTTTTTTTCATTCTGAGACACCACCAATCACACAGAATGCACCTGCTTGCCATACACTCATTCAAATGGGAAGCCTTTTAGCAAATGAGAAGGAATTCGTAGTAAATATGAATGAACAGATGGGGTACAAAACTTGCCCTTTAATTATATCGTACTCACAGCCTTCTGCTTGGTGAGATGGATCTGTATGTTTTGCTTTCAACTTTAAAAAAAAAAAACACCTGATGTTATTTCCATTAGATTTATGGGAGTGAAATGTGGTAACTGTTTTGTTTTTGTTTGTTTGTTTGTTTTTTAAAAAGCAAATGTGCCTTCATTTTGCCTGTTGACTTTTGGCCATCCCATAAATTTTATAGGGTTTTAAGGCAAGGATTACGCAGAAGTATTTGTGCTAGTTTCTTTCTCCAACTCAAAAGTTACAGGAAATTATAATACTAGGTATTAGTGACCTCTGCTGACGAAACTAAGGTATTAAGTTTCATTTGTTGTGAAGTATGTTTTGCGTTTAAGGGGGGGGGGGGTCACTGTTTACTATATGGTAATCAGAAGGAGAATGAGTAATTCTCTTCCAATAGCTGCCTGGTGTTCAGATGAAACCTCTCTCATGATCGCACCCCATTTCTGAAATGTTGCAACTTTTTGATGTTAGATAGCTGTTAAAGGCATCTGACATCCCTATCATTAGAAAGAGTGACATATCCAGTTCAGGCAGGTAATGTGTATGATCACAAAAGAGCAACAAATTATATTCTATTCTTACTGACATAGAGCAGGAGAATGGCTTATGAAAGATTTCTTGGTTGTCAAAGCAATATTTCTCACTTCATATAGAATTCACCTGGGGCCCATTCACACTACAGAGTTATAGTGTTATGATTCTACTTTAACTGTGATAGTTCAATTCTATTAAATCCTAGGATTTGCAGTTTAGGGAGGGGTACTTAGACTTCTCAGTTAAAGCACTCCTTAAGTGCCTCACCAAACTATAGATCCCAAGAATGCCATAGATTTGAATGACTACAGGAAAGGAGATTCCACCTGAAAATGAAAAAGAACTTCCTAACTGTGAGAGCTGTTCAGCAGCAGAACTCTCTGCCCCTGAGTGTGATCGATGCTCCTTCTTTGGAGGCTTTTAAACAGGCTGAATGGCCATCTGTTGGGGGTGCTTTGAATGCAGTTTTCTGCTTCTTGGCAGAGGGTTGGACTGGGTGGCTCACAAGGTCTCTTCCAACTCTATGATTCTGTGATAGTACTATACTTGTATAGTGTGAATAGGTCCATGAATTTCAGGTTAGGTCCATTTGGGATTTTGCTCCAGACATCAGATTGCATTGATTGATTGATTGATTGATTGATTGATTGATTGATTGATTGATTGCTTCATTCATTTAAAGACTATGTGTTCAAGATAATTCAACCTGAAACCCAGAAAGCCAAGTACAGGGGATAAAGAATCTGTAAGATTTTTTTGTCTACAGTTTTAATGTTTTCCAGCTAAAAATTCACAAGCTCTGGGTGAATGCTTGAAAAAGAAAATCCCACAAATTTTATTTTCATTTGTTTTCATTTTTTTTTAAAAATGCAGAGCCATCTTCAGTACTTGATGTATGGAGATATCTAGGAGCAACCTATCAGAATGGTAGCCAAGAGGTGACCATCTTTATCAAGGTGATAATTGGTTTTGTTTTTGTTTTTTTCAGATTGCACACATATCCTCTCCCTTCACTAAGGGAGAGGACTGCTCTTAATAATAATCTTATTTTCATATATCTAAAACTTAGAATCATTTTTAATTGGAGGCAGTGCCTTGGAACTGTAGTATGATGCAGCAACAATGTGCTATGAAGGAACAGAACGATACGTGAGATGGAAAGATCAGAGCTTGGAAAAATGACTTTTTGGACTACTACTCCAGAATCCCCAGTCAACACAATTCTGATAGTTATATTCCAAAAAACAGCAACTTTTCTAAGCTCTGAATGTACTATTAGGTCAGTGATTGGCATTTAATGTGTATTTAGACCAGAGGTTCCCAACCTGTGGTCTGTGGACCACCAGTGGTCCGCAAGAACTAAAATGTGGTCAGCGGCCTCACAGTTACTACACCATTGCAACAAGAGCATCTGGTCTTGCAAAATCCTCTTATAATGCCAAGGCTCATTAAATATGGTTTTCTGTGGGTGAGCAGATGCTGACCACTGGGTGGCATATGCTCTGTATCAGAAACTAGAGCTGATGTGGTCTATCCAATGCAAGTTTCTGAATCAGCACCTCAAATAACCAAACCAAATCTATAGCTGACCAAAAACTGCTTCGTAACCCTTTTGGTTGGAGAGTGGTCTCTGGTCAAAGTGGTCCTTGGTCAAAAAAAAAAAAGGTTGGGAACCACTGATTTAAATGATCAAAGGAAATGTACAAGACCCATCAGTTCATTTATATTTTATCTTAGACACAAATATGTGAAGCTACATAAACAATTTAAAACTTTTTTTAAAGGGAAATCTGACATAATACATTTCACTAAAAACAGGTTTTTTTTCCTATTCCTCTAGCCGTTTCTTCCCAAAGAGAGCAGAGGAAGAATTCTGCATTACAGAGTGTACTATGAAAAGGAAGGGGAAGTTGTGGATCTATGTAAAACAACTGAAACAATGTGCAAAGTCCTGGTTCCCCCAGCAGCGAGGGTTGTCTCTGTGACAGCACACAATTCCAAAGGAAGTTCCAGGCCTACAAATATCACAGTGCACGAATGGCACCATGGGGACCATGGTAAGAATGCAGTTGCTGCTCTTGTTTTCATTTATAGGAAAATGGGATTCAAGTAGGCGTAAAACAGTTCAGAAATGAGTCCTGCCTTCCCATATCGTGTTGGATATGATACTCTTCTTACGTGAGAGTTCCCAACACTCAGAACAGGCTCTTCCTTATTCTGTAGCTAACCCTCTTCTAAATCTGAAGAACAAGGCTATCTCTTCAGAGTTACCCACCCAGATAATAATTCTCTTTTATTGCAAAGATAAAATCTAAAGCTAAAACTCATGACTTCTTAAAATCATATTTTATTAAATGTGTTCCTGCTTTCATGAATATTTTTTTAAAAGCCTTAAGAAATTATAGAAGTGTGCCAGCTTATGGTTCTAACTGGAAGTCATCAACATGGTCAAAATTCAGTCAGAGCATGTATTACACCATGTAACGAAATTTGGAAAAAAAATCTGTTCCTGCTTTGAAGGTGTTAATCCTGTTTAATTGTGTAGTACTTACTCTGAAAGTAGTTGTTATACCCCAGAAACTTTGTTTTTATGGCTGCCACGAACAATGTTGAATTTGTTGAGACTCAATAAGAAATTCATTGAAAAACTATAGCAAAATCTGCTGCAGGATGTCCCACAAAAACAAAGTTTTTGCGGTTCAATAAACCTTTTCCATGTTTTTATGATAGAATCAATAAGGAAATGTCATCTATAACCCAGGAACAAAAAATGTGTTACATAATGTTATTAATTGTGGTTCTATTACCACAATTATAAATGCCCCCCCCCCCAAAAAAAAACTTCTTTACTAGCCAGCAAGTGCATCAAGCAATGGAAGACCTTTTAAGCTGGCAGTTGGAACACAGAAGGGTAATATTTCCAGCCTTCTTCCACCAGTGATCAAGATTTCGACAGAACCCTCAACACAATTCCTCATCACAGCTTTGATTGCTGGTGACAGGGCAAGAAATTCCTCTTCCTGCATCCCAATTCCCAGCTGAACAGATTTCCATCAGTCAGTGCAGCTGCTATCTGTCCAGGGAAGTTTAGTGGAATAAGCTAGGAGGCATTACGATTGTTCCTGCATATTGAGAGATTTGACTTTCATGCATGTAATTATTAGCAGATTCCATTATCATGCTCTCTTTAGGAATCTCTTGGTGCTCCAACACAACTTTATGGTCAACTTTCAACAGATGTTGACCACAGAGTTGCACTGAAAAACCTAGAGATTCCCAGAGAGGTGTTTTCTCAGGGGATAAAAATAGCATTTTCTATTCACAACTTTTTCACTTTCATGGGGTCCTGTGTCCCTAGCTCCAGCAAATGTAGAAGAATACTGTGCTTAGTTGTGAACATATAGCTATGTAAGTGATGTAGAATATCAGTGACAGCATCCTTTAAGAACAATAGGGGGAAAACATGTTGTACACCTAGAGTATTCTCTAACAGAAGCCAAGTCATCCAATCTGTTTTTCCCTATAGTTTTTCCACCCCCTACCAATTTGCAGGCAGTTCATGATGACAACAAAGGATTTTTTGTTAGCTGGGAACCTCCTGAGTCTTATGGAAATGCAGTTGTGTGTTACATAGTGGAGTGGACTTCAGTCCTCCTCAGTCAACACCATCACAATGTTTTGTGGAGAAAAGTTCCCAGACAGAACAAAACAACTTTTATTGAAGGTAAGATACAGAATCCATTCTCCCATCCCTACATATATCTTCATACATCCCTGGTGGTGCAATGGGTTAAACCCTTGTTCTGGCTGAACTGCTGACTGAAAGGTCGTTGATTCAAATCTAGGGAGTGGGCTGAGCACACGTCTGTCAGCTCCAGTGGGGACACGAGCAAAGCATCCGACAGGATGGTAAAGCATCCGGGTGTCCCCTGGGCAACGTCCTTGCGGATGACCAATTCTCTCACACCAGAAGTGGCTTACAGTTTCTCAAGTCGCTCCTGACACAAAAAATAAAATAAAAATAAATCTGTAGTCTGAAAATAAATAAAGATTTGTAGACCTAATTTAAAGTGTACATTTGGGATGACAAAAGTAATACATTTCCCTTAAGGAGTGTGTATCCCTGAACAATTTCTTGCTCTTCTAATTTTAATTTTATATGATTTTTTCTTAAATATTTTATTTTCTTTCAGTTTTTCTTACGTTTCCAACATTTAATTTTTATTAATTTTTCAGTTTATCCCAACCATCTGGTTTAATTGAAATTTTTACCAATGTTTTTCGGCTTCTGATGCATTGGCTGAAAGATCTTTACAACAGGAAACATTTATTTATGCATTTATTTGTTTTATTTACATTATTTATATCCTGCCATTAAGCTAAAAAGGCTCTGAGGATGGTTCATTTTTTTTGTTCTGCAATGTATAGCATATTTACTTAAAACTAAACCACCAAAGGGCAGAAACTCTGTAGTTCTGCTTAGGTTATACAAAATGCCTTTCCTGCATTCTCATGTCCTCTCCATGGTTCTCTTCTCTATTGATTCAAGGTTAAGCAATATAAGTGTTCCATGCCTTGAGGAGGGTGGTTCACCACCAAACTGACATATCCAAAAAGGGTCTATATAGTATTTACAAGAATACACATTACTTTGTTTCTTTAGGTAGCTCATTTCTCTAAAATCAGTCATTTCTGTGTGTTGTCAGAGGCTTTCATGGCTGAAATTACTGGGTTGCTGTGAATTTTCTAGACTGTATGGCAATGGTCCATAGATCTTCAACGGATATATAAACCTCCCTTGTCTAGTTTCCAATATACCTCACAACCTCCGAGGATGCCTGCCATAGATGTGGGAGAAACTTGAGGAGAAAATGCTTCTGGAACATGGCCATACAGCCTGGAAAACTCACAGCAACTCAGTCATTTCTGTTGAGCAGCTTTTTACCCATGATTGAGGGTTGTTCAATTCTTTTTTATAGAAAGCTTGAGGATGAAATTCCCATATAAGTTCATGGAGGAGGCCACCACTCAGAACACACCAGTGAAATTTAAGAATTACTTTTATGTCCGTGTCCATGTGTGTTTTCAACTTACTTTTTTTTGTTCAAATTCACCATAAAATATGTTTCCTTTCAATAAACCATAATTATTTACAGAAGACTCCAGGATAAAAAGGAATGTCAACATTTCAATATATGCAGTGTATCAAGATGGCACCAGCAAAGCCTGCTCTGTTCAGAGTAAGTACAAGGGAGCATTGTGAGGATACTGACAATGTTTCAGTGTGTTCTTCTGAAGTAAACATCCTACAATTATATGCATATAGCTGCAATAGTTCAGCCAATATAAATTTATATGAAAGTAAAATAACACATTTCATTTGTTCATGCGTATATGCTAAGGTGCCATCATTAACTAGGTTCAGCACTTCCTCAAAGCCTATGAAAGATAACATATTACAGAAAGAATGGTTGCATATCTCATTCCTATATGTACCCAATGAATAGAATCCTATACCATTAGTGCTGCCAGTATATGCACTTTTATAAACATTGCAGAAGAAAATACCATTTTCTTCCTTCATCCAACATCTCATTCTCTGTATTGTCGAAGACTTCCAATTGTCAATGGCTGGAATAACTTGGTTTTTGCAGGTTTTTCGGGTTGTGTGAACCATTGCCTGATGTGATCATTCCTATATTCACCCAATGACCAGAGATGAAATGGTGTGGCACTTAACCAGTATCCATTTCCAGTTGGGCAACTTCCTGGGCCTCCAATGTACTCACCAAATGTCATTCTACAGCCTGAAAACTGGGAAGTATAGTATTACGATCTGCAAGTGGTTCTGCTGGTATCAACCATAGAGAAAATCATGGTTATGAATGCATGTACACTGAGGACAGATGTGATGAGGAACAGCAACCAATTATTCCTGGTCTTCCCCATATATATTGTTGCTGTGTACCTTCAAGTCATTTCAGACTTATGGTGAGCCTAAAGTGTACCTATCATGGGTTTTTCTGATGTTAAGAGTGCCCAAGGTCACCTAATAGCTTTTTGTGGCCAAACAGATATTCAAACCACTACCCCATGCTGGCTCCTTCCTACATATATGGACATGGGGAAAAGAAATATGAGCAGGACTTTCAGATATCAGTAGAAACATATGTATTATGCTTGATACAGACTTAGCTCATATTACTGATTCCTTGGATTTAATACTCTGGTATTAACTATTCCAACAAGTTAAAATTAGCACTGTGACATTTCAGCTATGCCGTTAGGCATGAAGCAACAAAGCATTTCAACAGTGATAAAAACAGAGGGAAATTTGCCAAAAATGTTCAATAATAGCAACCCCGATATACCAGATCTTAGGTACAGTTTTGATTAAACAAGGTATTGTGAAGTACAGTAATCGAGGTATAATACATTAAAAAGCTACTAGATGACCTTGGGCAAGGACTATATCTTTAGCTTCAGAAAACCCCATGAAAGGTTCACCTTTGGGTCACCGTAAGTCAGAAACAATTTGACGACACACAACAACAATATATATGGGGAAAGCCAGGAATAGATGATTGCTGTTCTTCACTGCATCTGTCCTTAGTGGGCATGCATTAAGCAGTGATGAATTTTTCTATGGTTGATATTCAGTAGTACCACTTCAAGATCATAATACCACACTTTGCATTTTTCCTGGCTGTAGAATGCAGTTTGGTGAGTAAATTGGAGGCGTAGGAAGGCGAAGCCTGCATAGAAAATAATGGATTCATTTCCAGTCATAAAGAGCCAGACTGGAGTCTTTCTTAGGGTACTGGAGATTAATTTGCCAATACAGGAAGTCCCTGAGTTACAGACATCCAACTTACAAACAACTCATAATTAAGAACAGGGATGAGACAACAGGAAGTGAGAAAAATCTACCCTTTGGAAGGGAAGTTTACTCCTAAAAGAGATATCATGGGGAAAAGCAGTCTCAACTGAGGCTTTATCATGAATCCTTATTTCTACAACAAGCCATTTTTTTTTCAAAATCCAATTATTAGGGGGACAGAAAGTGTGGTGAAATCTTCTGAACAGGGGCACAGAAAGCAAAATAAATACCACAACGATGTTAGCTGTTCCCTATGTGATCCAAAGATATATATATATATATATATATATATATAGAGAGAGAGAGAGAGAGAGAGAGAGAGAGAGAGAGAATTACACTTTAAAAATGTACTCATTCCTACTTACATACAAATTCAACTTAAAAATGAACCTAGGACCTCATCATATTGATTAGGTCCAGTGTTCTGATTTGCCAGTCTCTGTGGCAAATCGAGGGGCAACAGGGCAATCCTGGCACCCTGCACCCCACTTCACCGTCAGCTGATACTTCCCCATTACTTGTGGGGTAGCATTGCCATGCAGCTTCCCCCCACGCTAGCCCCATTGTTCCAAATGGAACACGGGAAAGCTCCCATGTTGATGCTTCTGCCCCAGTTGTCCCTGCTGGTGAGTGAAGCTACATTGTGTGATGGGTGGTGTGTGGCTCTGTGGGTCAACTGGGGCAGAAGCATCCTAAGACACTGAATTTCCATTGTGTGATGAGGTCCCTACAAAACCTATTTTGTTAGTAACTTGGGGACTGCCTGTCTACAAATGTAAATTGTTGTTTCTCCTTAAATTTATCCAAGATTCTCTTGGAGAATTAAATAATCCTTTATATGGTAAGATACCTGTAATTGTGGGATCCATATATTATATTTTGCTTTCCCATGCCCAGGGGAAAATGATCTCTAGAAATTTGCTAGGTCCTGCATGTGATTCTATGGTAATGCTTTCCTCAGAAGTTACCATAGAGTCACCTTGAAGGATATAGCAAATTCTTAGAAAGGATATCTCTACAGTCTCTGTAGGTATTTATTAGGTCCTCCAGGGCAACTCTACTGGAGCTGGATGTCATGTAATTTAATGATATTCAGTCATATCCATGGATTCAGGCAACACCAGTGTAGCCGAGACCACATCTTCTATGGATAAAGGGCTCTTACCGTACCAAACCAAATTGCTGGTTTTTAATACATTTGTCCTATATTTCATTTCCTTGGAAATGACAACCAGACCACGCTTACCATTTGAGGAAGGAGGAATGCTCCCTCACAATTATTGTCTATAGCACTTGCCTTTCTGTCTTTCTTTGGTGGAAGGAGAGTCTCAGCCACACAAAGCAGCCAGTGCTGCTTCACAAAGAGTATGCTTGGCCCTAGAGATCTTTTCCACAGCATGTCATTGTGGCCGAAAGACTGGAAAACCACCACTAGCATACACCACTGACTAAGGACCTTATAAGATGCAGTCTTCTCTGCATCTTCTCTCCATTTTCAGATGCTGGAAAAACAGAGTTGATGGAGGACATCATAACAAATCTCCACTTTTATATATCAGATCCCACGCTTCCCGTGGGATCTGATATATATGTCTAATTAAGTTTAGAATCAGAGAATAAACAATATTGATATATGATACGTTGTTGTTTTTTTAAAAAAATGCATAACTCAGGTATAGTTTTGTGTAGAATCTGCTGTGATATCTGAAGCCAAAAGGTGGCAGCATTTCATTAAAAAATAACCCTTTTCCATGTATTTCTAGCTTTTTGTATACTTCTATTGTTTCAATGTAATTTCAATTTTTGACTGTTGTGGTTATATTAACTGTCTCTGTCTATTCAATATTTACAAGACGGAGAATGTTTTGGCGCTTTTACTTATGCAGAATTGTGAAAATGGAAGGAAATCCTGGATTCTGTTTAATTTTAATGGAATGGAATGCCCCTTCAGCATTTTTGTTCTGGAGGCTTGTGCTTTGGCAACATAGTATACCTTGTAGGCATGGGCAATCCATGGTTCTAAATGGTTCTAAAGTACTTACAAAACTAGAAGGTGCTGGTGCCTTGCTTCTACAGTGCTGCTAAAGTTCTGGTGGTGAAAATTTCAGAACTCTAACAAAACTTTCAAAATTTTGTTATAAATGGCAGTTCCTAATTGGTTCTGTCATAAAAATTGCCAATAACAAAATAATAATGATATTTTGAAAGTTTTGTTAGAGTTCTGAAATGTTCACCACCAGAACTTTAGCAACACTGTACAACCAAAGCATCAGCACTCTCTAGTTTTGTAAGTATTTTAGAACCATGGATTGCCCATACCTAATACCTTGCAACAGAGGCTGTCTCTATCCAATACAGTACCTCCTAGTTTCCAAAGTATTATAGAATGTGTGTGTGTGTGTGTGTGTGTGTGTGTGTGTGTATAGACTGATTTCAGTAACAATTTAAGGGAACTGAGTTGAAATAATACAGTGTGTGCCATCATATCACTGTTGGGATAATTTTCTTTTTTCTTCTCTCATAATTAGTACTGGGAGAAAATGTTCAAGGCCGACATTTTGATAAGGATCCAAGAAGCTTTTCTACTGCTACCAATGGTATGAAATGTCTGTGTTGGATTTTGCAAACCAAAGTTCTCTGTCTGACCAACTGTGAAAAGCTTTTATATGAAAGACTGATGATATCTCTGGCCCCTTCTACAGTGCCATATAGAATCCAAATTATCTGCTTTGAGCTGGATTATATTGCAATGGAGACTCATATAATCTGGTTTAAAGCAGATAATCTGCATTCACAAACTGGATTGTATGGCAGTGTAGATCCAGCCTCAAGTTCATTTGCAACCTGGATGTATCCAGAGCTGATTATGCGATGTAAAATGTTTACATTTTTAAATGACTACTGCAATGGCTAAAGTCATATAGAAGTGACTTGATATGCAGAAAATTACATGGACCAGTTTTCTACGTCAGCTACTTAAGTTAATACTATTGTTGTGTGCTCTATCGCCTCCGGGCTGAGAAGGGCGGTATAGAAATATGGTAAATATATAAATATAAATAAATAAATAAATAAATAAATAAATAAATCTTTTAAAAGTGATGGCAGAGGTGAAGGAAAGGCAATATAATGAGTAGAAAATGAGGCACCTTCTCACGAGGAGAGTCCATAGCAGATTTCCCTTCTATATTAATAGACATAATTGTTAGCAATGGTCTTGATAAAGATCTTTGGTGTCCATCCATTTATGGAGGAAAAAAACAGACCTCCAATTTAAAATGTTTAAAACCAATGCTTTTGGGTTTGGAAAGATTAGCCGTTTACAAGAAATGTTGCCCATGGGACGCCCAGCTGCATTTACTCAGTCTTTGAGGAGGCTCTTTCCGTGTCCCACTTTTATCTGTTTATTCTGTGTTGATAAACTCTACAGCCTAGTGGCATTGCTCCCCCCCCCCCCCCCCCCCCCCGATGTGTGATGGAAAGTTGCTGTCAACTGTGAGAGAAATAAGGTTGGACACTGTGAAAGCCATCCACTGCATGGCTATCAGCCTCCTCCCAGTAGACTCAAATCAAGGAAAAGTTTCATGAGAACCACCACTCCCTGTAATGGTCCCCCAGCAACAGCAAGAGCATCCCTCTGAGCTGCTAAACCAGGAAATTCCAAATGTATGCCCCCCCCCCATGAGGATCTGCCTCCAGGGGCAAACCAAGATGGGCAACTTGGAGGTCCCTAAACAGACTCAGAAGTTGAGTGAGCAAATCAAAAGACAACCTGGCAAAATGGCACTAGAAGGAACCTCCACCTTGTGCAACTGTGGAGCAAAACAAACAACTTCGCATCTGTATGCTTGCCCACAATGCCCTGCCTCATGCACAGAGGAAGAAGCTACAGACAAGGTGGTCACTATTGTCCATTTTCGGTCAAAAAATATTTAGTTGCTTGTGCTTCTTCTTTTTTTATCAGTTTTATACTTATTTATGCAATGCTTTTGACACAAAATAAATAAATAAGCAGATTTCCTAGAGTCATCTGTATGATAATTCAGAAAAGGATTCTGGCCTATATGCATTCTTTGTTTGTTTTTTTCTAGTAGGAATTTTCTTACATTATTTTTAGATCAAGCACTTGCTTGAATTTCATCACTGTGTGCACCACTTCCCCTCTTCTTTACCACAAAGTTTGTATAGGCTAACATGAGATGAAGCAAAGCAAAGCTGAAAAAAGCAGAGAAGCACGAAATTCATTTTAAAGAATATAAACCAATCCCACTCCTTAGTTTAATGGCAGTTAATCCAGCATAGAGAGCAATCACTCTGAGCAGCACTGCTGTGGAAATCCCCTCCCTTCTGAGATTATCAAAACCAGATTAGGAAATGGAGCTGGAGAACAGGTTGCACGGGTATGCATCCATTCCTTAGGCAACACTATATATGCTGATAAAGAAAACAATTGGATGACCTGCATCTAAAGTAGTAGGCAACATGCCTGAAGTGTCAAAAAGCGGCCATTTAAATCTCACCTCTGTGCATCAACTAATGGAGTGCCCTTAGGCAATGCACACTTACTTAGCCTCAGCAATATTATCTGCAGTCTCCCATATACTTTCCAACAAGATAAACTAGGTGAAGTGTCTTGGACACTTTGAAGTGCCACATCAAGGCTGAATATGATTACGAATTTGGACACATGCCTAAAGGCATGGGTCAAAATGGGCCACTCTGTCACCAGCTCAGTTCTGTCTACAGCGACTGTGTTTTGGCCTTGGATAAACAGAACTGCTTAGCACAGGAAAGCACCTAAGAGACTAAAATATATCCCCACCCACACTTGTTTGCAACTTATATAAAGACTTTAAACATTACAGTAACTCTCCCTAACCACATATCTTCCATGTATTACACTCCAAGCTAATTGCCTAATGTCTTTAAATCTACTCCTCTTTCCAGTCTACACTTACACACCATCAAAAAGTCCATGAAGATTCAGAATGTTTGAGCAATAACACCACTCACCAATCTGAATGATCAAAAGTCGATGTCCAGATTTGTTTTGTAAATGATCATATGTGAAAAGGCAGGAATAACATATCATCATGAGAAAGACGTCACCATTTTATATTTCCATCTTAGTGTGTGCATGTCAAACAGTATCCCTGACATGTTGGCATCAGAATGTACCCATCTGGAGCAGTTCTTACATTATGTGTTTGTTACATTGTGTTGCGCTCCATTATGTAATCATTCGTTTATTTAAAAGGAGCCCCCAGTGGCGCAGTGGGTTAAACCCTTGTGCTGGCAGGACTGAAAGACCTACAGGTTGCAGGTTTGAATTGGGGAGAACGTGGATGAGCTCCCTCTATCAGCTCCACCTCCCCACGCAGAGACATGAGATAAGCCTCCCACAAGGATGGTAAAACATCAAAACATCCTTGCAGACAGGCAATTCTCTCACACCAGAAGTGACTTACAGTTTCTCAAGTCACTCCTGACACACACACAAAAATATTTAAAGTATTTCTATATCACACACACACACCGCAGCCCATTAGGGCCTCTGAATCATAACAAATTTTAAAAAGTGTTATATTCTGATATACATAGTCACTGACATACAGTTACCATTTAGTATGAGAATGTAATATTTGGAATTGCTGTGTTTTAACTCTTTTAAAAACAGAGTTTTTAAGGAGTATTTTAATGTAGTCTCTTTCTCTGTATACCTATATGTATCTGTACTATTTTAATTTTTGTTGTTATTGTTCATAGTCTCAGAAGCCCTCGTGAACTGTGAGACAGTATAGAAATACCTTACATAAATAAAAAATAAATAGATCTAGATTTATCTTTATGGGCAAGGGGAGAATAGTACAATAATATTAACAATAATACACTTTATTTATATTCCGCTTTATCTCCCCGGAGGGATTCAGAGCGGATTACAATACACATAGGAGGCAAACATTCAGTGCTTTTTTACGCCACAGTGAACAATGACATATAACACAGACAAAGGTGAAGGCCTTCCACTTTTTCAATCTCCGGCGTCTGTAGGTGATTCTCAACTTCGGAGGTGCTCTTGTTCCTTTTTTCCATGCTGAGCAGCCTGTTGTCCATAGACATCTCCAGTTGTGTTGCAGGCATTTCTACATATCTTTTACCTTCCCGCTGAGGCAGTACCTATTCATCTACATCCATTACATGCTTTCGAACTGGTAGGTAGGCGGAAAATAGGGCTGTCAGTCAGGAGCTCACTCCAACTTGCGGCTTCAAACTGTCAGCCTTCCAGTCAGCAGCTTTCCTGCAGTTAGCGGTTTAACCTGCTTTGCTACTGCACCCCCTATATACAAAGAGCATAGAGTCTCTCTTCATAACAGTAAACAATTATAATTTTGATTTCCTTGAGAATATCAATCCCACATAATTTGTTAATTTGGAAAAGCCATCTCTCAGTGCCTCAGTTTGCTCATTCAATGGCTGAAACTATGACGATGAAGAATGGTTGGTGAGTGCTTGGTCCTCCATCCTGGTAACACATGAATGATTCCAATATAACTTCATATTTTTTTAAAAATGAAGAAATTGTGCTATGCTACATAATTAACTTCAAGTGCAACCTCTAGAGTACAATTGTGACTGGGAAAAATTGAATTATTCAGTTATTCAGAATAAATTCTGAAAATGTATTCAGAAATATAGAATGTGGGGACATGGTGTAAAATCAAAACGCTAATCATGGTTTCTTCCACTCATTGACACTTTCCAGATGGAAACGATTATGATGTTGGAGTTATGGTGGGAACTGGCTTTGGAGCTGCACTCCTATCCATCTTTATTTTGGTTTTGATTGCTAAGAAATCCTATAGGAAAAGGTATGGCTGGGATTGTTTTTATTCGGATTTCCTTCCATATGTTTCAGACCAGGTGTGGGATCATATGGCAGACTTCACATTACCACTTCAGTTTTGCATCTTCTAAAATCTCCTCCCTGAAGTTTTTCACTTTTTAAAATCTCTCACTCCATGAAAGAATTGCACTTCCAGGAGAGTACCAGTCTCCTCTAAAGCAAGGTGCAGACTGTTCTGCCCCTTACTGTATCCTTAGCTTTTTTTTTCCTAAAGTTCACATAAAAAATAACAGCTGGAATTCTGTTCAGCAGATACAACATTGTGATCCCATAACTTTGAGGCTTCCAGTTTAATTGGCAGCAGAACATGACTCCAAAACCCAATATTTTCAGACTGGCAGCCCTCCAACCAAAAGGTTTCCAAGTTATTGTATATCAGGATACTAGGAAATGACTACTCCAGTGCTCTCCCAATCAATTGTGCACAACACTGAGAGATACACTTGAAGCAGGACACTGGGAGGAGAGTATCTTCAGCTGTCTCTTCTCAGTGAATCCCGTAACTACAAATGTCATTTGACAACATCCTGATTATCAGCATTCCAGAAACTTTTCTGTTGGCATACTTCTTCACTGGAAATTAATGGGTTTTTTTAAAGGGGGTCATGATATATACCAGGGATTCCCAACCTTTTTTTGACCAGGGACCACTTTGACCAGGGACTACTCTCTAACAATAGTACCAAAAGGATTCCGAATCAGTTTTTGGTCAACTTTAGATTCAGTTTGGTTATTTGGGGTACTGATTCAGAAAATTGCATTGGATAGGCCACATCACCTCAAGCTTCTGATACAGAACATATACCATCCAGTAGTTGCCATCTGCTCACCCACAGAAAACCATATTTAATAAGCCACAGCACTATAAGAGGGTTTCATGAGCTCAGTCGCTCTCATTGCAATGGTGTAGTAATGGTGAGGCCATATACCATATTTTAGTTCCTGCAGACCACTGATGGTCCATGGATCACAGGTTGGGAACCGCTGATATATACCTATGACGATGTTCAATCTAAAAAAATGTACATTGGGCCCTTGGTATCTGCTGGGGTTTGGATCTAGGAGTTCCTATGTATACCAAAATCTATGCATTCTCAAGTGACGTTATATGCAATGGCAAAATCAAGTTTTGCTTTACAATTTTTTAAAGGGGCGGGGATATTTTCAAAATATGGATGGTTGAATCTGTGGTTGCACAATCCAGGGATGTGGATGGCTGACTATATTTTTCTAAACTAATAATGATCTCCTGATTTCATCTAAAACAGGTGATGTGGGCCACAGAATCTTAGAAAGTGTCAACTAAATTTTCATCCCAGAGTAAAGCATGCACAATGTGTGTCAATAAGCAGAGGAGAAGTGATTTGTCTCCAAATAATACCTGTATAGACAATTTCCCTCTATTTGTGCAGTAAAAATGAGTTTGATTTTGATAGGATGTGGTTCACCGGTAACATTTCGCCCTGTCAAAAGACTGATTCATAACTATAGTATCTCAGTGCTAAAGTTGCAACTGATGTCGAAATTCAGAATTTGTGTCAGTTACCACCAAAGGCCAAGCAAGTAGAATGTGACATGACTTTGTACAAAAAGGAGTGATGCTGAACTATTCCTCCCTCATCACTTTTTCCCTTCATCCCAGCGCCTGCCCTTTCAAATACCAGTCAAATGACATTAGGCAGCTATTCCATTTTTCTCTCCATGGTATACACTTTATGAAAAAGCAATTGGACACACAGGAGGGTCACCAAGGGGAGATGATGCCAAATATATCTTCACAAACTTTTGGAAATGTAGTTTCACAGTAGAAGCCTCATTTGGGAATAACCTCCAGCGATTTTTCTTCACTGGAGTGGGGGAATCAATATCAGGATTCTGTCTACAATATAAAGAAGCTATCCAGAGTGCTGAGACTACTTTCAAAATGGATGCAGCACTTTGGATAACTCCTTTAGAATTGACAAGAACCCAGAGCAGAATCACTGCCCCAATGAAAGAACGGCCACTGCCTACAGTTGATTCAAACCTGCTTCACATCTGTTTGGTAATAATATGCCTTTGAAAAAAATTGCTCTACCTTTATCTGGAAAGCAGTTTTCTCCAAGAATAAATAGGAATATGTGTGAGAGTTGGTAAATGTGAATAAGCAGAATAAGTAGAAGCTTTACCATGGTATTTAAACCAAGGTATATCCTGCTGTATAATAAAATGTCACTCAGGCTTGTGAAATAAAATAACAGTATCTTTACTTTAGTTCAAAGGTTTAAACATGGTAACGATATATACATTGGTCTCTTTGAATTCAGGCAGGGAACAGAGGAATAAAATAGCCATTTTAAATAGTCTTTGAAATATGCCTCATGCCATAAAATGATCAGTCCTTAAGATAGTTGGTAGCCAGCACTTTCTCTTCACTGTCCAAAGTGAGAACAATGGCAGAATGACAGTTAGAACCGTTGGTCTCAGCAGCCAGCCAGAGGCAGCAGCCAATCAGAACCTAATTGGCTGCTGACACATCTCTCTCTAGTTAACCCACCATATCATGGCGTCCTTTTTCAAATCCTAACAATATGCTCTTTCAGAAATGCAATTGACCTGTTTTGCTTTTTCTTTTAAAGGGTTACCACGATGTTGAGTTCAATAACACCAAAATGGCTTTTTGAAGATTATCCTAAACTACAGAACAGCAGTGCAATAAAGTCTCTTCAGGTAATTTCCCAAGTGAATTTTCTACTTTTCCCTTGTGTTATATGACTGTAAAGAAGAGAAAGGAATTACTTTGCCTCTTTGTGTATGTTAAATTGTGCCTCTCTATGTTTCAAAACTGAGCATAGATGCCCATATTTTGTTTTGATGCATTGATACTGTAGATTTTAAAAAGTGAAATAAAACTTTATTTATCCCCGCCACCATCTCCCATAGGGATTTGGGGCAGCATACAAAATAGCACACAAAGATGCCATACATAAAATACATAATATATAAAATAAAATACATCAACATGAAAACAATAATACATTACTTTAGATTAATGCAGTTTGATACAACTTCATGGCTCAATGCTATGGATTCATAGGAGTTGTAGTTTTATAAGGTCTTTAGCCTTCTCTGCCAAAGTATGGTAGTGCCTCACTAAACTCCAACTCCCAGGATGCCATAACATTGAACCATGGCAGTTAAAGTGATGCCAAAATGAATTATTTCTATAATATAGATACACACTGAGATACAATTAAGTAAAGTTTTGGGTCCATTGATTATTCTGTTGGAGCATGTGGCCATCAATGAGCAGAATAACAGTGTATAATAATTTGTGTGTGTGTGTGTGTGCATATATTGGACCAGTAACAGGAGACTACACAATATAAAAGGAAGATAAAAATAAATATAGACACTATACTATCAACACAAATACAACCAACAGCAAAGAGCATAGAGAAGTGCTGAGGTCAAACACAAGCAAAGGAGTTGTGTTTGTTTCTGCACCCCATCTCTTTGCATAGTAACATTGGGATTTTCCATTTCTTCATTATCTTCCCCTCCTCTTCCCTTTTCATCACATATACAATGTAACTTCTGAAACAGAATACTCCAAATTCACTTACCCTCCCCTTGCAATATCCACAAAGTCAGTGTCAAATGAGAGAGCCACCCATAGCTACCATCTACAATTCTAGAAATTTTTTTCGTGTCAGGAGTGACTTGAGAAACAGCAAGTCACTTCTGGTGTGAGAGAATTGGCCATCTGCAAGGACATTGCCCAGGGGATGCCTGGATGTTTGATGTTTTACCATCCTTGTAGGAGGCTTCTCTCATGTTCCTGCATGGGGAGCTGGAGCTAACAGAGGGAGCTCAACCTGAACCACTGACCCGCGAGTCAGCAGTCCTGCCAGCACAAGGGTTTAACGCATTGCGTCACCACTAAATAGAGATTTTTCATTGACTTATGCAAGGAAAAGGTGCAAGGAGAGGGAAGTGAAAGATCTCCCTATATGCTGCATTATAAGTAACACCTCCTCAGTCCAGTCTACAGTTTATGAGAGGAAAATGTGATTCAGAGCTGCATGCTGGCCACCAAGCAAACCTCTTGTTTTGCTCTGGGGAAGCCTGTAGGAGCCAAACTATATGAGGACAAAGAAGCTCTGAGTCCAACCCACATTTTATTTCACAGAAGGTAATACTTCGAGGCACGAATTCTCACTTGCTTCATTTTCATCTGTGCATAAATTAAACCTTTCAGTGATTAAAAATACAACTCTGTTAATTGCATGTGTAAGAACTTTAAAATATCACAGAGCGAGGGAAGAAAAGCAGTGCAGAGATTTCATGGGAAGGGGGAAGGAGAAAATAGCAGTCTTAACTCTGTGCTGAGAGTAAAACAGAGTGTTCCAAGGTCATTGAACAGCCATATAAACCTTCCCTGGGAAGCAGCCATAACGACATGGTGCAGTACTACATTGATTGAAATCAATACTTTGATTTGATTTGATATTCAGGTAGAACTCAGCCTTTTAATAGCTGTTTCCTGATTGTCAGCCATGAATGTCACAAATTTCAACTGTGTCTTATTGCTATTTTAAGAACCTGGAAACACTAATGAGATCTGGTTTAAAAACCAAGATTTAAATCATCAGTAGCGACAGCTGGTAGCTCCTAGATCAGTTCCAGTTTTTAAAGCAGTGATTCCCAGCCCTTTTCTGTCCAGGGACCACTTTGACCAAGCCCCACGCTCCAACATTAGTGCCGAAAGGGTTATGAATAAGTTTTGGTCAACTTTAGATTTGGTTTGGTTATTTGGGATGCTGATTTCAGAAAACTGAATTGGATAGACCACATCAGCTCTAGTTTCTGATTCAGAACATATGCCGTCCAGTAGTCACCATCTGCTCACCCTTAGAAAACCGTATTTAATAATCTAGTGCTGATGTAATCTATCCAATCAGGCTCCTAGCCAAGGGGGGCTTGAGGGGCTTCACCCCCCCCCCCCGAAATTCTCAGGGTGGTCCGCGAGAAGGCCTTAAACTGTTATGTTTATTTATATCATGATCTGATCACCATGCTCAGTATATCCCATATGCATGGGGGTATTGGGATAATGATACAAAAAGTTTGCTAGAATAGATCCTGAGCCCCCCCCCCCAAATCAAACTCAGCCCCCCCCCCTCCCACCTGAATCAAAGTCCTGGCTACGGGCTTGTATCCAATGCAATTTTCTGAATCAGCACCCCAAATAACCCCGGGAACAGACCTAAGAATGAAGACACCAAAGCGCTTGCAGGTGCCATATGGAATAACTCTGCTCAAGGGGATGGAGGAGGAGGAAAAGTACCAGTCAGGAGGCTTGTTGTCGCACCTTTTGTGGGTAGTCAGCCTTCCCTCTCGACATCCCCATTGTCTCAGCACTATAAGTGGATTTCGTGAGACCAGTCACTCTCATTGCAACTGTGTAGTAACGGTGAGTCCGTGGACCATATTTTAGTTCTTGAGGACCACTGGTGGTCCATGGACCACAGGTTGGGAAGCAAACTTTACAGAAACTACCCAAGGTCCTGAACCTATTATGAGTGTAATATACAATCCTTTGAACTGTTCATTTGATGTTTGGAGTAAAACCTTCAAGCTGGTTCACCATCTAACTAATATTAAAGTCAATGCCCATCAGAGATGCTGAGTAACTTCTCAGTAATTTATGTATAGGTATGCCTCCTTGTCATTTTACAAGTTGTTTTGCCTTCTCAGCCAAAGAACGTTGGAGTCTGCAAATCCCAGGATTCCACAGCATAGAGCCATGGCAGTTAACAGTGGTATCAAACTTCATTAATTCTACATTGTAGATGCATCCTAAGTCCTTTATATTCCCACATGTTATGAAGTGACATGCAGTTGTTCTAGACTGGAGACTGAGACTTCCCATTCCCACATTTATTTATTACACTGGCCAGCATACATGTTGGTGTCTGAAATGTTAGTCTTGTTTCTGTGTATATTTGACCCATTGATTCCAAAAATACACCAGTTTTCCCCTATCATCTCTAGTTTTTGAGATACAAAATATATGACATCTACCAGTTGCCATCTGCTCACCCATAGAAAACTATGAAAAACATATCTAAGAAACTACAGCTGATGTGGCCTATCCAATGCAATTTTCTGAATCAGTGCCCCCAAAGAACCCCAAAATAGGCTTTAAAACAAGAAACCAAGAAAATTGTTGGTTTTTTTCCTGGTTTGGCTGGGTTATAAAACTGCAATCTTTACAAAATCTTCCTAATTGTTTTTCAGAAGAAAAATGGTTCAGTAACGCACATTTCTGCAGAGCTGTTCTCGGATTATGAGGATGCTGTGATAACTAAAGTGGAGGAGATATTGGTTCAAAAGGAATATAAGACACAGGATGACAGAAAGGAAAGCAAGGAAGCCATTCCTCAGAAAGCTGATGTTCCCGGAGAGACCTTATTTGTGATCAATTCAGATGTGATAGAAGCCAATGGGTACAAGCCTCAGGTTTCCAGCAAGGAACTGTCTGGAAATATATTCACCAATACTAATGCAATACATTCTCAAAACCCAGGGTCAAATTTGAACTCTCCATCTTTGCCCATGAATAGTCCTGTCAAAGATTACGTAAATCCTATGGCCACCATATGGCCTGATGAAAATACACTTTTATTGCAGAAAATCAGCCCAGTTTTGAACAGTGGTAGAAGTGGGCAAAGCAACGTGTTCATCCCAGCAGATGAAGAACCAAATACACCAACAGCAATGCAGTGGACTTTCCTGCTTTCAGATGACAATATTCAAGGACAGACTTTCATACCCGATGAACTGCTCACTTGCTTAAAAACAGCGGATAACAATTCTACAACTGTAATATCTTATTTTCCTCAAAGCATGGCAAAATGATTGTCTGAGCTATAAGAAAGAAGGACAGAAATATGATGGAACAGTGGCATGAAACACCAGTTCTCAGATTCAGGATAGGAAAAAGGACATGCCTGAGCCGTGGAATTGGCTTCCACAAAGTGTGGTGAAGGATACCAACTTGGACAATTGATTAATTCTATATGCTTCCTGGAAGAGGTGACATGCAGTTTTGGGGTGACAAGTCTCAGAAATTCCCAGACCAGCATGGTCATAGTGAAAAACAAGCTACTAGGCTGGGTAGCTGTTTGGGCCAATCCATCTGGATTCTTCTTGTGTTCCTGGTGGCAACCATGGTGTGGAAATAATGCAGGAGTCAGGCCTCCGGTTCTTAGCATGGTCCCATTCAAGAGAAGCCCATCATATGTCTCTCAAGCAGTTGTTTTCAAGAAGTAGCAAAATGTGCCTACTACAGCTTCAGTGAGGGGGATATACCTACCTTCAAAAAGTGTTGCGTCTGAAGGCTGTCAAAAAGATGAATGACTTCCAAGAAATGGAAAAGTATCACTGAACATACATTTCTAGAACGCAAGCTGAGCTAAAATTAGTGGTTTCTGCTGTTGCAGGAAGGAAGTAGTAAGAGAAAAACCACACACATGACAACTTAAACAGCACAATATGGAAAGCAATAAAGGGCCATTGTTGCATGAACTAGGAACACATACAGTTTTATTGTAAACTGGAAATGTTTCTGTTCCTGTTCTTGCATATTTCATAGTCATGTATTGCAAATGCCAATTCAATTTAGGAGTTGTACAAGGGGGCATTCATCCATCCTTTGGACCAGAAAAAAGTCTATATGCCTGTTGTGACAATGAAATAAAAGGCAGTGTTTTGACTCTCAGAACCCAATTCAGGAGCTGGAATTGTGCTGCCTCCTGGATATCAGACTGGAAGTCCTAGCAGTCCTAACCAGCGGTGAAGAATGCTGGAAGCTGCAGCCCAACGATATCTAAAGATCCACTCAATTCTCACTTCAATCCAAGGGCTAAATCTATATCAGCTAAATTAAGCAGATTGAATCAATGAAACTGACCTAAGTGCTGACTTTCCAAATCTTCATCATTGAGTGGGGGTAATTTAGTTGACAAAACAGCATAGTTTGAATGTTGGGTTAGGGCTTGACTCCTTTACTCAGCTATGGAAAACAACTGGTGACCTGGGATAAATTACATGCTCTTTGTGTTATTGAAGGATTTCATGGCCAGAATCACTGAGTTGCTGTGAGTTTTTCAGGTTGTATGGCTATGCTCCAGTAGCATTCCCTCCTGATGTTTCACCTGCATTTATGGCAAGCATCCTCAGAGGTTTGTTCAAAGGTTTGTTGGTGATGAGGCAAGTGGGGTGTATATATATCTGTGGAGTGTCCAGCATGGGAGAAAGAACTCTTGTCTGTTTGAAGCAAGTGTGAAAGTTGCAATTAGCTAGCTTGATTAGTATTGAGTCGCCTTGTAGCTGAAAGCCTGGCTGTTGCTGCCTGGGGGCATCCTTTGAGGGGTGTTAACTGGCACTCGATTGTTTACTGTCTGGAATTCTCCTGCTTCTGAATTATGTTCTTTATTTACCATCTTGGTTCTGGTGTTTTTTTAATACTGTTAACCAGATTTTGTTCATTTTCATGGTTTCCTCCTTTCTGTTGAAATTGTTAACAGCAATAATGCCCTTTGCTTCAGAAGAAGGCAAAGGCAAAGATCTTCTGAACAAATATTGCCAAGAAAATCTGTATTCCTTTAATTCTATATTTTTATATATACTTTTAAAGTATGTATGAAAATTATAGGAGTGCTCTGCAGTTTTCAACCTGGCAACACTGAATACAATATATGCAAGGTTATTTATAAATTAATTAATGAAATGCATTAGGTTCACAGACTTGTTTTCATGAGTATCACTGCCAAGACATGGTGATTTGAGGCCACTTTAACTGCCGTAATTCCATTGTATGGAATCCTGAATTTGTAGTTTGAGGAACTTAGAATTCCTTGCTAGACAGTTCGGTTTCATTCACTTGAACTAAATGATGGCAGTACTGTAAGAGATGGTCATAACTGCTTTTCTGCAATTTTCTCAGTTGTACAGACTTCTAGATAACCTGCATTGTGACATGGTGAATGGGCCAATTGGTGATATCCCAATCTTCAAAGAAGAATAATACACTTGTGCTCTGAATGTAAATGCACTGATGGCTTCTTTTATGTTGGTGAGCTTAGTGGGCTACAAGTCCACACATGTATTAATGTGTGGACTTGTTTTGTGTGAGCCATGCTGACTCTCAATTTGGGAGCTCAGTAGAATATGATTCAATAAATATACATATCTATTCTTCACTGAGCCATATACCTGCCCAAATGTTCTGTACAGCTCTAAAGCCACTTCACACAACTATCCCATGCTTCTCACGGATTGGAGAACTCTCTGGCTGCCTTCTCGGCATCTTAGCTTGTTGGCCTATCTCCTTATGTATGCTACTTTAAGGAGATGTTGCATAGAGGGTCAAATGTATCACTCCTTTATCTTTATGGCCATTTCCTAGAATCATAGAGTTGGAAGAGACCTCATGGGCCATCCAGTCCAATCCCCTGCCAAGAAGCAGGAAAATTGCATTGAAGACCCCTCGACAGATGGTCATCCAGTCTTTGTTTAAAAGCTTCCAAAGAAGAAACCTCCACCACACTCTGGGGCAGAGAGTTCCACAGCTGAACAGCTCTCACAGTCAGAAAATTCTTCCTAATGTTCAGATGGAATCTCCTTTCTTGTAGTTTGAAGCCTTTGTCCCGCGTCCTAATCTCCAGGGCAGCGGAAAATAAGCTTGCTCCCTCCTCCCTATGATTATCATGTCTCCTCTCAGCCTTCCCTTCTTCAGGCTAAACATGCCCAGCTCTTTAAGTCGCTCCTCATAGGGCTTGTTCTCCAGACCCTTGATCATTTTAATCGCCCTCCTCTGGACACAATCCTGTGGAATCCTCAAATCTGCAGTTCTGAAAAAATATATATGAGAAAGCTGTATTAGTCTACCATGCAGCACTATTAGAACTCTCTTGTAGAGAATTATATCAACAGACTTCAAACCCAAAGATTTTCTACAAAAGTGACAATTAAAGCTGTGCAGCATAGCTGCACTCTATGGCTTAATTGTGTTAGTTCAAACTAAGCTAAATATAAAGAATCAATGGCAGCTGTGTATGTCGATTTACCACTTTCCTATTGATCCACTGGACTTGTCTTAGTTGGAACTAATGACTGGAGTTAGACCTGGATCCAACTTAACCTGCTTGTACTAACAGTTCATATTCAGGGAAAATGTTGCACAGCTCATATTACTAAATATTTTTGAGGTGGGAATTCAATTAAAAATCAATAAATTTTCCACAAAGAAAGTCCAAAAGAAAATGTTATTAGGAGTTCCCATTTTCACCCTAAGAGGAGTGTACCCTGAGTTACAAACATCTGACTTGGAAACAACTCATAGTTAAGAATGAGAATGAAACAAGATGAAGAGGGAAGACCCCTAGGAAGGGAAATTCACTCCTGCGAGAGTTCTCATGGGGGAAAAAGGGACTCCACTGAAGCTTTCTCACCAATCCTTGTTTCCAGAACAAGCCAATTTTACAAAAATCCAATTATCACAGGGGCAGGAAAGTGAGGTGAAATCTTCTGAACAGGGGCACAGACAGTAAAACAAACTCTACAAGGGTGTTAAGCCTTCCCTATCCTATCCAAAGCTATATATACGGTATGCTATGATAGCCAAAGCTATTAGGACAAACCTACAGAACCAATCTCGTTCATAACTTGGGGACTGCCTGTATTCTCAGTTTTTTTCCTAACCATTTTCCCAGACTCCTGAAATAATTTTTAGGGGACCCCTGTATAAAATGATTATATCTACATCCTAATCATGATATCTTGCAGAAACCCTAGTGAACCCCAGGGTTCGGTTCCTGTTCTAAACAAATGGTAAATGATAAGCATGGCATAAAGAACCTGGACAATGACGTGATGTTGATCTGTTAGGACATGTTCTCGGACAGGCCTGTAGCTGGGGGGGGGGTCAACCCCCCCCCCCCCAATTTTTCAGGTTAAAAAAAACTGGTTTACTCATGAATTTTAACTGGTTAACCAAATCCCCATGCTAAGTCTATGAGATTGCACCTGCAGAAAAACCATCGAATGCACTGGAAGTACTGGAAATGCAATTTGTTTCATAAAGATCAAGTAGACAGAACATATTGTAAAGAACAAAAATAACTTTCTGGCCTTGCATCGCACACTTTAGTGCAAATATTAAGACACAAATAGTGTTCAATTCAGCAAGTATTGCAGAATGTCATGCCACAGTCCACTTCAAAAAGGGTCATGACATGCAGCTGTTAATAAAATGCTGTGGTATATAAAAAGCCACATGTTAAATTCATAAAATATATAGTGGTTTATTTGGATGATTTTAAAGTGATTTCACTTTAAATGCACTGGAAAAAACTGTGATGGACAGTTTTTTTCCAAATGTGAAGAAACTTGTTCAGATTTCTGCAACATTGCCAGTGTCAACAGCTACAAATGAAAGGTCGTTTTCAACCCTTAAACGTTTGAAAACATACACAAGAAGCACAATGAGGCAAGGAAGACGGACTGGACTTGCACTCTTGAATGTCCACCGAAGTTTATCAATAGAGCCTGATTTCTGTCAAAGTGTAGTGACACAATTTTCAAGTGTTTCTAACAAATGCTGTGGTATTCTTTTGTAACTATAAATTATCAATTAGCAATCATTTTCAGTTATTTTAAGACTTGAAGCTTTAACTAAAATATAAATTTGATTTAATGAAATCTATATAAAATATACTTGTAATCATATAATTTAAAGTATTTTATGTTATGGCACGATGAAACATGCCTGTTACCCTTTGTAGTCTTTTACCTAGGTCATTGCTCTCTTAAATGCTGGTTATAAGTTTTAATCCTTGTTTTATCAGTTTTATCTGCTGTTAATTCCACCCACAATGTGTGTTTTAGTCAGTTTTGGCTATTTTTGGCCTTACTAACCTTGCATACCTTGTATCTTATACCTTTTACAGAGCAATAAGGGTCTTTGGACTGTATTAAAAATGTTGTTGTTGTGTTATCGAACTACTCTTCATGATTTGCTAAAAAAAGTTTCAACCCTCCCCGAATTTTTTTTCTGGCTACAGCCCTGTTCTCGGATAAATGAAACTGCAAAGCAAAGTTAGCCAGAAAACTGGTGAACAAAAAAAGTGTGAAATTGGAGGTGGGATGTGAGAAAGAAAGAAAGTGAAACTTGTAAATCATTGCAGTATCAGATTCCCACAATCCGTTTTGCCAGCATAGACTGAAAATGTTTGGCACTGCTTTAACCTTGGGCAGATAACCAGCAGGAGCCAATAAGTTGATATTCAGACATTAGTTCTTTGTCCATAGCAAACAATACAGAGGGGCAAACATTACCCTCCTGGTTGTGTAAGGAGTATCATTTGTTAAAGACAGGCTTTTCGCTCTTGGTTTTAATAATGCCTTTAAAAGAAAAAAAATCCCCCGACACCCCAGATTGTGAATGTGTTCTTAATAAAAATGTGTTCATCCTTTCTCTTGCAGCTTCTTAGAGGCAATGTTTTCAGCACATCACACACTCTTTCACGATTTTATTTTCCAGAGGATACACAGCTCTTTCCAAACCAACATTTCCTAGAGGCAAAATACATCGGGGGCAGAGAAGCTCTTGCCTCTTCATTATCAGAAATGCTTTATTTTCTGTATTTCAGCTGAGAAGTTTCTAGCTGTGTCTGTTTTCAGAGAGAAAGTCTGAGAAGATGGTTGTTATAAACAGTTTTTCCTTTGTGAGGAAGGTCTTGAAGTAATGATCTGATATGTTGAGGGCAAGCGCAAGGGGATGGGTAACTGAGGAAAAGACACTGACCACAATGGTTGCGGGGTCTAGGAGTCAATGTTCAAGACTTTCCAGGGCTTTGATAGATGGATTTGTGAGTTTGCTTCAGTAAAGCAATTCTTATGTTATCTTGTCCTGTACTTTCCACAACAGCAGTGGTTACAACTGGAATTAACTAAAATTAAGGTCAGAATTTTTCATTCCGCCAAAAATGTGCTCAGTGGTTTCTTTATCTGAATTCATTTATGCAGGTAAATTTATCTAGAATGAACATAAAATTCAAATGACCTTTTCATAAGGTAAAGGTAAAGATTCCCCTGACATTATGTCAAGTCATGTCCAACTCTGGGGGATGGTGCTCATCTCCATTTCTAAGCCGAAGAGCCAGCGTTGTCCATAGACATCTCCAAGGTCATGTGGCCAGCATGACTGCATGGAGTGGCATTACCTTCCCGTTGAAGCAGTGCCTATTAATCTACTCACATTTGCATGTCTTCGAACTGCTGGGTTGGCAGAAACTGGGGCTAACAGAGGGAGCTCATCCTGCTCCCCAGATTTGAACCACCAACCTTTCAGTCAGCAAGTTCAGCAGCTCAGTGATTTAACCTGCTGTGCCACCAGGGGACCTTTCTTGACCTTCTCATGACTTGTTTTAAAAACAGCAAAGACCAGATTTTAACATGCTATAAATACTATATTATTTTACAAAGCTGTTCTTTCCAAATGATGTAAAAGCCAGTATGGTGTAATGGCTTGAATGTTGGAGTGTGCCTCTGGAGAACAGGATTCAATTCCGTGCTTAGCTATGGGACCCCACTGGGTGGTCGTGGGTGAGTCACACACTACTTGCCCCAGAAAACCTATGAAAGGATCATCCTAAGACTGAGGAAAGTCAAAAACAACTTGAAATCACACAACAACAACAAAACAACAGATGTGAGGAGCCAGCAATATATTCCCCAGTATGCCTGCACCAAATTTTGTTCCTGTTGGTGACAACTGTTTCTCCCCCCCCCCCCCCCCCCGCAAACTCACTAGGGACTGGTGACTGATAGTTGCAGACAAGCTCTGGTTTCTGGACCACCTCCTTGAATAGTACAATTCCAAACAAAGTACCATATTTACTCAAATCTTATTTTGGCTAAATGGCCTTGCCAAAATTGGATGTGCATTAGGTTTGTGGAATACTGTAATCTTAGTGCTGAGCCCAAGGCAAAGGGGAAGCTGCTTCAGGAGTGCCAGGAGCTCCTATTTGAGGGACTTAATCTCTAATTTAATGGCCATGGCTCAATGCT